TGCGCCACGCAATTTTTTCTACCACGACCCACATCCGATCCATTTTTTCCGACAGCGTTGTAAACTTTTTTTTTCTTCCTTTTTTGCGGTACCTGTTGTGCTTTTGGCACATAATTATTTGGAAATATATACAAACTAATCGTCGTACTTCAACCATCATTAATTACTTCCTGTGCATTGCTTTGCATATGTCTTTCAAAAATATCAAAAAACATATCAACATTAAAATCGGAAACGTTTAAAATAGCTGTTGAAAATGCTGCATGTGGTGCATTAGAGATATAAAAACGTGCTTTATCCATCGATGAACTAGCTATATAATTCATAGTGTTAATTAAATAATTAAATATTTCACGAAGGCTAGCATAAAATTCAGGAAGCATTCTCATATTTCCAGCACCTATTCTAACATTATAAATGTATTCGTTGTACCCACAACGACGTTGTGTCTGTATTTGATATACGCGAAACGCGTTTTTAGGTATTTGAACTTTTTTCCTATTTTGTTCGACGATACGCGCAACCTCCTGAATATCTCTATCTTCCACATTGTAATTTCTTTTTTCCGTCGAGTGTTTTGTCATATTTCTTTGCAATTTATTTTCGTGAGCCGTTTTAGCAATATCGGCAATACTCTTTGGAGTGATTTCAATACGCATTTTATCGTTATTAACTCTTACCATGTCTATAATTTCTTGTAGATCATCATGGTTTAATTTTCGATGTTTTCGTTTGCCACCACTACCGTTGGCGTTCTTCCTTTTCGACGATGTCATTGTATACAACAGCAAGTTGTGTATTCGTTGTTTTCTTCCAGAAAGTCCTCGTTGTCAATGTTTTGTCCCCCACCATCTACGCCTTCTTCACCCACAACCACAGCACTACTCCTATTTATAAACACACAACACACTTTAATAAGCGGCTTATCACCACCTGCAAAAAATTTACTCAAAGCGGACAGACCCATTTCAACATTCGTACAAAGCACAGCGTAAAAATGAGCAGCGATGCTTTAATACACATTACTATATATCTTGAAAATGAGTGTAGTGAGAATAACAAAGATAAATACACACCTTCATATGAAGTTTCAGAAGATAACAGCGATCAAATGATTTTTTCCCAACATATTTTTCCCGAAGCATTCGCAGATTGGCTCAAGGATGGTGGACATATAATTGATGTGTCGCCGTTGGATATACGTACTCGCTTAACAGTGCTTAAGCAATCACAAGGCATGACGTCGTATGTGGAATCTAAAATAAACAGAATAGCTGATTATATTGAAAATAACATTGAAAAATATATTGGGGTCGTGGTTGTCTTTTAAATGTCGAAAAAACGTCGAAAATTTATTTAAATTTTTTAAACAATATATACGACAAACCGCGAACCAAAAAAAATAATCAAAGTATTCGAAAATCACAACAATGTGTTGCTAACACTCTAAAAGATAAACAGTGTCGTAAACGTACTGCGAATACCGAAAAATGCTGGATTCATCTTGCCAAACAAAATAATTTACGTATTAAACCCTCAAAGATTATTGGTGCAGGAAAAGGGTTATACACATGGAAAAACAAAATTCCGCGGGGTAATACCATCGGCAAATACACGGGAAGACAAATAACAAAAAAACAATTGGATCAACATTACGGAAACAACGTGACAGCAAAATAATGCAATTTGTAACCGTCGCAGACAATGTATCGACTCAAATTATACCACAGATGGTGCGCCACGATTCGCTAACGACGCTCGCAAAACACCCTTTCAAAACAATGCTAAAATAAAAGGTCGACAAATATTTCGTTTAAAAGCTAGTAAAACTATACCCCCCAATCAAGAAATTTTTACATCGTATGGTCCAGAATATTGGCAATAAATACCTGCAATACTTTAATAATTTTATCAGTTTCCAACATGGCACGCACAAAGCTACCCGATCTTAACGCAATGCCAAATCTTAAAAGAAAAACGGATGCCATACGCAAAAAGCAATTACAATTACAGCAAATGTTGTTAAATCCAAAAGTGTTTCTACGACAATACATGGGGGCGAAGAAGAAAATAGTAAAACAAAAAGCTGTCAAACGTATACAAGATACCGATCGCGCATGATTTGGGACACAACGCGGTGGACAAATACGGTGGACAAATACGGCGAACAAGAAAGCCTATTAATAAACTTCCAACAGTCTATCAATATTATCAATAAATTTGTAGAAATATTTAATAAAAAACTAATACATTACCTTTGCTTATTCCTTCTCTGTCTTGAATTCATCTGCGCACGATGTTTTAAATGACATTTTCATTAACCGATGCAATTTATACAAAACAATCTTGCAGACAAACACGCTTATATACACTATTTTTTATTTGTACCCTATAAGGAAATCCGCCACACCCGTTATTTAAAATTATCCGTCGTTATTATCCATATATGGGTGTGTTTAAATTTTGGACGCTTGTAATTAAAGAATAATAACTTTGACATTATTATATTAAAATAACCTACACAATTTTAAATTTGGTCCCACGCCATATTAAAAAACTCGCTACGCACTTCATGAGCGTGCAGTCAATAATGATCTAAAAAATTGTTTACCCGCATATTATACCCCGTCAATGGGTAACCTATCTAGCGCATCAGCATATCCGCATATTTTACGACCTGCCTTTAAATGTACACAAAGTGTATAATCTTTAGTTTTCATAAAATTCTTTAATAACGTTATGTAAGGTGCCATATCATCTTCTAAAGCTCGATTTCTACCACCCAATGCAAAAACACCACGCTCTTTAATTTCCGACTCGGGAAGATCATGATGCAAACATAGCAACCATATTCGTAAATGAGGTAAAACCATAGGAAGTTGTACACATTCTAGATAGGATGCCTGAAATTCAACATCGAGCAATTGGCGTTCGCAATTTTCTCATATTTACATGGTCAGCAAATTGAACAATGCCAACAATTTTTGTGCACAATTGTAACTCATATTGTAAATATTTAAGAAAGGTCATCCCTATTTCTTTTCATACTGTTTCCAAACTATCCCATTTTACACTATTAAACAGCAGTGATATAGACGCGACGACATCTTTTAAAAAATGTAAAATGTTTTTTATTGCTTTTAATTTTCTAGACTTTATTTACTACGTAATATAACACTACTACTACATTCCATACCCCTATATAGATAATACTATCAATGTTGCTGAAAAAAACGGTTCAATAATATCCCTACAAATATTTATGTCTTTCTTCGATTGTAATGGCCCCAAAGTTTTTAACGGTGCATTATATGAATCTCGACGCATAACAACAAAATCACCGTCCAAAATATATGAAAAACAGGGCACACCACTGGGTAAAACCTTATCTGCACTATCGGGCTCATTTATGTTTGCTAAGGGATCGTGTTTAACTAATGTCGTACAAATCATTTCAACCAATGTATCCACATACATATTACAATGTCGGCACACTAACAAATGTTTCATTATTAATTTTAAAAATTTACCCGTAATTAATTCATCATTAAATTTAAATATTTTTTCATGGACTGACAAAACATAAAGTACCTCACGCTCTTTACCATACGGCTGGGCATACAAACGTACACTATCATATAATTGTTTGCCATTTACAAATATACCCACATCTAGAAACACATCGTGAATGTCTGTTGAACATTCGCCTACACCAATATGAAAATAATTTTCAAAGGGAACATATCTGTTATCCACCACAGCATACTCGGATTTGATACTAACATTTTCACGTCGAACAACCATCATACTCCCACGCACCAAAATTTGTCTACAACAAAATTTTTCACAGCCAAATACATGCACCAAGAATCGTTTTCATAGCGTACATAAATATAGTACAACCACTCAACAGGAATTATATAAAATATTTTGTTTGTATTGATGTCATCATCATTTTGTTCTTCTTCTTGTTCACAATCCAACCCGATCAAGCAAAAATTTGGTGTATTTTTATCATATAATATCACATCGCACACTCCCACGAGATTACCCTTTAACCACAATAAAGATTGGGATTTAACACCATTCTCTTTATCTTCATAAATAGACGCACCTCTGTAATCTCGAACACGAATTTCTCTCGTACCCAAATCTTGCGGTTTTTGGTTATACAAATATCTACATGTTGCATATAATGACCATAACACTGGGTCGTAATAATAATTTTCAAGTAATTCCCCCAACGCTCTTAAATTTAATGGTACATCCAAACAACTCATACCGTGGTTAAAAATTGTGAAAATAACTTCACTTCGTGTCCGCTACAATGATATTTACCTGTAATATGATACCCACAACACTCACGCTTGACACCGTATTTTAACAATAAGCATTCATACTTTGGACACCCCAAAATTTCCATATTAATACACGAAACACCTAGCATATTAACAAATTACGTTCGATATTTCCACCCTTGTAACCCACCAAATCATTTCGCTATACAAATAAAAATTATCGTCAATACACCGTCTTTCAATGGGTAGTCCGTGTATTACCCTTATTTGGTAACGCACCCCACAATCATTTTCATCAAACAATTTGGTGTTTGGAATGTAAATCTGATACGTTGTAACAATATTTGTTGATCTACACAATACGGAAACTTCGCGTAAAAAAATTTTTTACGCCATGTGTATGCTTCGCAGTCTATAATGTGTGTTATACACGACTTTAAATCATTACGTGCATCTCGAACATTTTTCAACACTTTCTCATTTATTTCACAATGCTGAAGTTGAAAAAACGCATCCATCTCAACACACGCCACACAATACAATAAAAAAATTTAATACTAGTTCCACTCTTCTAACTTTTCTCTACTAATACAAGTACATACACTACTACTATAACAATTACACGCCTCGTCCATATTCACAATTACACGCTTCAGTCGTTGCAAATAAAACAGTATTTTATAAACTAAATGCGGCGAAATTAATACACTATGTGCACGTTCACAAATGTCTACAATTTTATCAACAGCGCGATCGTCAATGTCTTTAGATATATACATATATTCATTCATAATAAAAATTATTTTTCGATATAAATCACGAAACCCTAAAAAAACTGTAACATCATGTTCACAATGTTCAAAGTCTACATTGTAACCTACCGTCCGCTTATATATACCCTCATCACACGTATCATACCCATACTTTATAGTAGTACAAGCTAAACTATGGGCATAAACATCTTTATTTTGCCCCTTTAAAGTTGTATAAATACTTATTATACGGTTCGGTTCATCTATTACACATTGTGTTTCATACAACCATTTGTCCACGTCATTATACAGTCGGTCATAGCACATTAAATTGTACCCGTACAGCGTCCAACTCATTTTTTTCAATAGTCTAAGAGGTTTCTTGTCCTTCGAGCATCGGGGTTCCAAAAAGCACTGCATCGCTACAGAACCTACGGGCGTCCCCAAATACTTCCACACACGAATAGGGTATCAGACAATAGCATTCATTCGAAAACCCACCACATTTACAATTACATCAGCAAAAGTTGAGCACAGTTCTTTGCAAATGTATTGCACACTTTAAAAACTGTGTCAATCTAAGCGACAAACACACATCTAGATTATCCAAAACAGTTTGTTGTATTTTATCCTCGTGATATTCGTAATCGTGTAAAACAATCGACACAATTTCATCCAAAAGCTGTAGGACACGTGGTTTTGCACTATTGGAATCATACAACTCTTTCAATGTAGTACACCCTTTTAGAGTAACAATAGTACGTTGCGTGCCCAGCATGATATATTGCTCTTTACGACCTTTAAACCTCTGGGGGTACACACCGCAAACTATTGTCGCTGTTGTAAAAGCATGCGCCATCCAGTCGATCACACCATCACTAATTTCACGCTCTCCCGAAAATAAAAACCTATAGTCATAGTAATAAATGTAATAATTTGCGAGCTTTTGTATGCGGTCCCCCAACAATAAAGTAGTAGTGTTAAATCTTGAAATAGTTTCATGGTACCAATGTAGCATTAAAGAACGATTAAACAGTTGTCTATACCCATCATACACTTTTTTATCATTTTCAACGTGTTGAATATTTATTAACTTTTCATCCCATTGTACATACTGAAAAGGACGACGAAATAACAAATTACAATTTTGAATACTTTTCAATACACAACAGTTACAGCTCATAAATAATCAATTTTTAATTCCTTCGACTTGTTTCTACACTCAAATTGCTTTTGAAACTCCAATATCAGTGCGGGTGAATAAAGTATTTTTGTATGTACGTCATACCCCCTAATGTCCCCCTCTAATATTTCAGACAATTCTATATTTAAATATTCCTCTATTTGTGCCGCTGTTATATCCGTAGAAATAATTTTCAAATTAATACACTTATCTTGTATATATGCCAAAGAAACATCATATAATACAAATTTGCCCCGACATGTAACACCAATCACCCACTCATAAAAATTTCTCATTTCCACCAGATACACATATTTCAACACGCGATATATCGTATCGTTTATAAACAACTGACTACCCGTTGACAGAGAGTTGGACCAAAAATTTGCATCATACGACAAAACCATACAATCAATTATTTCATCATCTTCTTTAAAATAGGATTTTATTATCTCAGATCTAAAAAACATATATTATATTATTCTAAATGTTCTACACATTTCTCTTATAACGTGGGGCGAAACTAATATACGACAAGCGTTTAAAATCAATTGTTGCAAATTCTCAACATGTTCTACAGAATACTCATTGTCATTAAAATAACCCGTTAAAGTATGGATTATATCTCGCATTACATCTGCACTATCACCATCCCCATCACAATAAAATAATTTCCAATGTTTCCATTTCCAATCATTAAATGGACTATTTAATTTATAGTTCGTTAATTCGTCGCGAGTTAGTCTCACGCTCACAATATTAACTGCATCTTCTATATATGTTTTTACCCCCACATACATATAACCCATTACATTGCAATACATTGTATCTTTATGAAAAATGGAAATGCTTGGCCCATAATTCACAACTTATTCGGGATAAGATCCATGCAATGCGTTATACACCGCAACAATCTTTGTCGTCGGACAAAACATCTTGTAAATCGTGTCATGTTCCCACTATTTTTAAAAAAAATAATTAAAACTTACGCCATTTTTTCAATTCCAATATTTCAGTTTATTTCAGTTATACCTTTTCATTCATACTCTGCTTTTTCACAATAGTACAATTTGTCCCAGTTTTTATTAAACATGAATAACAATTCTAACGTTTTTTTAGGTCCAAACAATAGATAGCACAAATATACAAAAACCATAGCGATCACCACACGCTGCCAAACACTAACCATCTAGAAAAACACAATTTACATTCCATTACCAAATTTGGATAATAACACATCAAACCACATTATTACACAAATCTAAAAAATACACAATTAAAATTCCATACCCATATGTAGATAATAACGTCAAAGACTATATTATTACGAACACCGTATAAGGACAATTACACGTCATAAACGAAAAATACTAATAAACCCCCAATATCAACTACATATTATTACACAAACAGCCTTCGAGATGGCCACAACAGAATTTATACAGTTCGTTAATTACATGGGTATAAACTTATCGGAAAGCAATATGATTATATACACAAATTTGTATGTTAATTTCGTGCAATTTCAACCAGCAATTTTTTGTGAAAACTTTGCTGAAAAATTCATATTGTGGAAACGTTTATACGACGAATACAAAGCTACACAGGATCAAATCATCAACACCGACCTTTTCAATACACCACCAGCAGATCGCCGAAAACTAAAACCCTCAACGACGCAACTACCCGAAGAATTATCGAAACTACGCACCGAAGATGAAACTAACCTGTTTCAAAATTTCACACTGAAAAATGAAAGCCCTGAAACAAAAAACGATTTCACACCAGTACAGCCCGCAGAAACACTCAACAGCCCCAAACAAAGCGACGCTACGTTGTTGGACACAACGGATAATATTATGGCTAATATACCCGTCGCCGAGGTCGTCAAAGAAATTGAACAATCTTTTACAAATGACAATCACATAGTCACGCTCGAGAATATCACACCTATTTCATCCCCTAGCAGTGAAAAAAATATCGAACAAATTCCTGCAACTAACACGGATATCGAACCAAGCTTATCCCCGAATCGTGGAATAAATATCGAACAAATTCCCGCAACAAACACTGGTATCGGACCAAGCTTATCCCCTAGTCGTGGAAAAAATATCGAACAGATGAAAATTATATTCGAAACTGAAACTTCCGTGGAAACCACCCCAAGTAAACCCGTACCCACCCCAAGAAAACGAAAGCGAAAGGAACCATCTGAAGAGCTGGGACCCGGACCTGGTCGACCAACAAAAGATTCGGCAATGCTTTGCGATGCCAAAAACGTAGGTTCGGGAAACGATTCTGGAAACGACGACGAGGCACAACTATCACTTCGCGAAGTAACGCTAATGAGTGGAAACGGTGCAGTTCGAAAAATAAACCTTTTGACGAAATACGAAAAAGACATTAAATGTTTTCATATAAAACATTATGCTTCGTTAAGAAAGCATTTGAAACCATAAAACAACAAAGACAAAAACTGAAAAAACTTAATTACCTGGAACAAAACGAATATATATATATATAGTAGCTAATATATATATATATATATATATATAGTAGCTAATAAAGGCCGATTCTAGGACAAAATGGTTAATACTTCATGTAAGGCAAATTATAGTGGATTCGGACAAGTATGGGCATGCCCGGAATTGGATTCCCGGAATTCCGCCTTCCCAGAATAGAATCGATGACGTCACTTCCGGTTGCCCAATTCCCCGCGCCGCCCTAGGGGTCCTCTACCTACTGGTTACCTCCCCCATCCTCGCGCATCCGTGGTCACGAACACGCAAGCACCCCCGCACGCATACGCATGCTCTGACAATTTTGTCGGAAATTCCTGTGGGTGTTGACCCGATGAATTTCACCGTCCGCGACATCCTCCGCGGGCCCGCCGCATCCCGCACGCTTGTTGAGGTTTTCGGTGGAGATTTTTTTTTGACAGAATCAACTTATAAGCAATTAAAATTGTATAATAAATAACCATGTCAATTACCAGAGTATCAGACTTTTCCGGAGACTCGTTCAAATTTGTGGGCCCTGTCAAGGACAGGTTTGGATCCGAGAGGATCAGACTTGTTGCGGAGGGTGGTGGTCCACTGCTACTTAGGCTGAAGAATTGTTTAGCCTATGGAATCAACAAGAACAATAAGTTCGGAAAGGACAACTACACAATTCCGTTGGCAGTTGGACTACACACGGAATTCATATCAGCTCTGGAAGTATTGGAGAAGAAGTGTGCAGTAATGGTTGGTAAGCCGGGTACCAACGTGATGAGATGCTTCTATCGGAGTGGGAAGCAACCCGTCCTGTATGCAAAGATCGATAAGACTACGGTGATGTATGGAGAGGACGGGGACATGAATCCGATGGAGGAGCATGACGAACACTTCTGCCTAGATGCTTTGATTAGGATTTCGAGCATATACCTATCCGGAAACACGACTTCCGTTCAGGTTAAGCTTCAGGAGGCAAAGTATCTGAGGGTAAAGGTTGCAGAACCGTGGAAGAGGCTTCTGTAGATCCGATTAAATTTTAATGTTCCTTCGGATATTAAAATCAGTTTGTTGGGATTTCTATTGCCTTAGGTCCTTGTGTCCTATTGCCAAGGTGTGTATTCCAACTTCGCAGATGATACGTTTGTCGTCGCTTGCCGATAGGGCCACCTTGACGATCCTTTCGGTATATATTTCGTGTAGCCTGCTTCTGAAGACGTTCATTCCCCTCCACTGTTTCTCACCGCTGAAGAGGCATTCCTTATAGTTGTTGAACGTTATTTCCTTTCTAATGGTTGTCTTCTTGACGCCTTTACATTTCTTTTCTTCCTTTCCGTCTTCTGCCATTTTGTAGGCGTACAGTTTTGCCCTGAGTCCTATGAACTCTTCTATCTGTTTTTCTCCTGTTTCCGATTTCATCATTCCGATAACCTTCTTGTTTATTCCGGTCGGAATTCCGGAGGGGTGGTTTTTGCCAATGTTGCTGGTATCGAATTTTTCGTAAACATCTTTGGAAATGTCCTTGAGGAAGTCCTCGGTGGTGATTTCGTAACACAGGGAGTCCGTGTCTGTGAATAGGAGTTCGGCATTGTTTTCATACATCGGTTTGATGTAGTTATAATGAATGTCATACGTGAGGGTTTTGCTAATGTCCAGGATACTCATTCCGAGGTAGATGGTTTTTTTCAGTGTTACGGAGGTCCTCCTCATGTGAACTGCCACCAGATTTTCCGAGAAGATGGTTACCGACTTGAAGTTGTGCTTTTTCGATAGCTTGTTCCATTTCTTTTCGTCGTTGACCATTCTGATGTCGACTCTGTTCCTTACGTTTTCCATGGTCTTTCCGAATACGGAGTTGTTCATGAGCTTGAAGATATCTTTTTCGAAGTCTGCGGTTCCTTTGGTAAGAAGGTCTGTGTTGAGCTGTATGTATTCTTTCATCCAGTCCCTTTCGAGGAATTTTACTCCCCGATGTATTTTGGTTAGCTTTAACCCCAGGCTCAGGTACTGTTTTAGGTTTGTATGGTGGAGGACGTATTTTTCCCTGTTGTTGAGGTTGGGTATGAGTTTTTCCGTCTTGTTGACCATTATCCTTTCTGGTGCTAGGGGGTATTTGTTGTGTAGGTCGTGTAGTTCGTCCGGGTATTCAAGGTCCACTTCGAGGATGCAGCTGTGTACCATCCATTTTTCCAACTCGTTGTCATTCATCCATTTGAAGTCCTTGATGGGTAGGGGCTGACTCATTGCCCATCCGTATAGGTTGTTTGCGTCCAGGTAGGGGAGGTACTTGCTTTTTTTCTTGGGGTCGTAGTTAGCCATGTACTTGTTGTTGGCTATGGCATGTCTTTTGGTGATGGTGCTGATTCCTCCGCGGATTCCTCTTTCTATGAGTAGATACATGTTCGGATCAGAAATAAGCTCCAGTTCTACTTCGGTTAGTTTTAGACACGCATCCCACGCCAGTCCCGGTGATGTGTAGTACCACAGGGGATCGAGTTCGTAGTTTGCTCTGCATACCTTCCTGAAGTTTTCCATAACGTCTGTCAGGAGTAGGACGTCCGTTTTGAGGTAGAGGTTGTGGTAATCCCTCATGGTTTTCATACCGAAGGTGTTCCACACATTCTGTGCTCTCCTGTAGTCGGTGTCGCTGATGTCTTCGTTGGTTAGACTGCTGAAGAATTTACCCTTGGGTGGGAGGGATGTTCTTTCCAGCTTGTCGAATCCATCCATGTACTCGTAGGGGTATACACCTTTCTGCTTAAGGATTTCCCGTTGCTCTGTGGTGTAGTGGGATGTCATTAGGTCCAGATTTTCGAAGTCGTCCTTGCCCAGACCCTTGGTGAGTTTGTCCAGGGAGCTTGCCATAAATTTGAAGGAGTCCAGGAATCTTAGTTCCCTTTTAACCTTCTTTTCCTTACCATCCTTGTCTCTGAATGTATCGACCTCTACCTCTTTGGTAAAGGATATGTACTTTTCTTCCGTCTTAGGGATGCACTTGATGTCTCTGCTGCTCACCCCGAGGTTTTTGATGAATAGGTGGGCATCATACCCTTCAAGGTTATGGAAGAGGACCGGTATGAATTTCGGCTGCCTCATCCTGAGGTTACACGAGTTGTGTGCTGCACCCCTGTATTTGCCTGTGTAGTGACAGTGGTCGTTGACTTTGTAGTCTTTTAGGGTGAATTCTTCCTTACATGCGTAGCAGTTGGTTGCTTCTTTGTAGTCTTTGGTATCCCCTGAGGTCATTCTGACGGGCTTTTTGAACTTGAAGTTGCTGTAGATATCCTGGGTTTCCTCCTCGAGAAGGTCCACAAATTTTTTGGTGATGTCTTCTCCTTCGTATTGCTGGGTGTAATGTACCAGCTTGGGTTTGTAGATGGAGTTGTCAAAGCACTTAATGTAGTAGCAGAATCCGCTGGGGTTGTGTTTTTGGTATTGTGTGGTACTTGACTCGTCCGGTTTTTGTTCCTTTGCATCCAATTTCTTGATGTAGCATTCGAAGTCCGCATAGATGACGATCGGGAATTCCTGTATTCTTTTGTAGTTTTCGAATTTTGTGATGCTGCCGGGTTTTGGATAGTCGTTGTTCGAGCATAGTTCCAGGTGTTTTTCCAGGAGTTCGTTTGATCCGAATGCGTTAAGGCATCAATCGCATACGTATTTTTTGTGTTCGTTCTTGCTGATTTGTGAGCCTACGAGTCTAGACATGTCCTTGACTACACTGTAATGGTTTTTCCATAGGAAAAGTCTTATGGGATCGGACTTTCCTGATACTCGTAAGGGGTAGACCTTGAGTATTTCGTCGGCACTGAACACGTTAATGCCGATGTTGTTGTTTTTCTCGAATATTTTAATACCGTCTATAGGAGTTGGGAATTCGATCCCTTCCCAGTTTAACTCTTCGGATTGTCTCTTGAGTTCTTTTGTAATTCTTTCCGGATGGATGTCGGTAGGGTTCAGAGCACATGTGACGGCCCACTTGAAGCACTCGTCGTCGTCGTTCTTCATGTTGATGATCACCTTTTTGTCAGCTATGGATTTGGGTAGCGGTTCGTGTTTCTTACCCCTAAGTGGTCGGAACTCTCCGATGTGGATTTCCAACTGGGTAACTCTCCGTAGTCTCCATCCACTGCCCCTCCTCTGGTATTCCGAAAAAGACGTCAGCATCTTTTCCCTCATGATACCCTGGGTTTCTTCCGTATCGTCCATGCCGATAAGTTTGTGGTTCTTCGATCCGAAGTGGGCGATGGTTGACACTTCCTCCCCAGTTTTCGGGTCGCTCCTTACCATTTCACAGGCTAAGGACATCCTTACGTTCCTTGGTTCCGTTTCGGAGTTTATGAGTGTTTTAACCTCATTTTCCGTGATGGTTAGGAAGTAGGATGGGTCGTAGTTACTGTTTGGGGTGATGACATACTTTTTTACCTTTTTCTTGATGGCGTGCTTGGCTAGGACGGGTTCCAGGATTTCCCTCGGTTTTTTCCAGATTTTGCTAAGCTTGTCACCCACCTTCAGTTGGAGTTTGGCGAATTTCTTCTTACCCTTCCATTTACCCTCTGCAATCCTGCGGTTTTCCTTGGCTCGTCTTTCCCGAGCCCTTGCATTCTGCCGCAGTCGCTGGGTTTCCTTCTTCCATTTTTGAGCCTCTGCTTTCCAGTCTGTTACCTCTTTCCGTCGTCTTTTTTCTTCCTTAGCGATGTCGCTCTTCCATTTCTTTGCATCCCTTATTTCCCTTTTCGCGTTGGTCTCCATTTGCTTCCTTCTTCTCTGGAACTGTCTTGCTACCGATTTGACTTCCTTTCCGATGATTTTCCTCTTTTCCTTCCTGATCAGTTCGTCGAAGTGGTTATTAATTTTCCCTTCTATTTCTAGACCTCTCTCCCTGGCCATCTCAAGGACGTTAGTCCTCATTCGTTCAATAGAATCGAATTTTCTGTCCGAAATTGGAGCATTGTGTTTGGTAAACTCCATTGCTTTTATTATATAACAAACTTATCTATAAGGTGGTTTTGAAGTTGATTCTGTTTTTTTTTCAGACCTGTAAGGTTTGAAAAAAGCAATGGAGTTCACAAAATGTCCGAGGAACCGGACGTATAGGAAGGTGTCCCTTATTTATTTTGAAAAAGTTGATTCTGTTTTCGTGACAATCGGTCTTCACCTGCGTCCCTAGACTTGAAAACCCCGCCAGGTCACTACCTGGCTAGATTTTAGCATGAAAACGTACGGAAACACACCGTTTTAGGTTTAATACGTCAGGTCACTTTATCCTGGAGTAGTGTAGTAATGGTATACCCACTGGTACTGGCGAGATCATACCATTCGTCCGATACATAATTGGGACAACCTAGGAAGACAGTATCCTCCGGACTCTTAAGCCAGCAGTTATTAATAAGGGCATTACCTCTGACTGTAACTAGTACCATAATATCTGTAAAGTTATCATAACCTTCATGCTGTTCCATAGTCTTAATTTTAGCGTTTTTTCCCATCCATCCATATCCGAGCTTAATTGTGTGTTTTGCCGGTAGGTTATTTGGTGGGGGGCCTAATGTTTGGATAATGAATGTCATGTCCCTATAGTCAGTATGTCTACACATTCTTTCAACCCTATCTATCTCGTCCGGACAGTTGAAGTAAAGTTCTACCTTAACATTCCTTCCGTTCCTTCTTCTGGTGTATTGTCTCATGGTTCCTTTGTTTATATGTAGGAAGTCTTTTCTATAAACTGTTGATTCTGAATTTGAGATACTTCTGACTAGATTTAAGATTACTCACAAGTTAACTCAAATCTACTTGTGAGATACTTTTGACTAGATTTAAGATTACTCTTGACTAACTTTTGACTAGATTTAAGATTACTCACAAGTTACTCAGATCTACTCACAAGTTAACTCAGATCTACTCACAAGTTAACTCAAATGTACTCTTGAATAACTTTTGACTACATTTAAGATTACTCTTGACTAGACTTAAAGTTACTCACAAGTTAGTTAAATCCTACTATAAATAAAAGTAACCATGTCGGAAGTAAACCCAGATACAGTCACAAATCCAGTAAAGACTCACGTCAAGGATCCCAGGAGGGTGGAGGCAGGGCGCAGGCTTGCTAGGATCAGTAAGGAGGCAAAAGCAAGGAAGAAAGCACGGCTTGAAACTATCAAGGAAGAGGAGCAGAACGTTCTGACCGAAGAATCCGAAAACGATGGATCAATAGTCACCCTAGAAAGAGTCAGCCTGGTAGTAGGTATTGCTGTAGGCTTCGGATCCTTTTACCTCATATGGTGCAGCAGTTGGGAGAAGGACGAGAAGGCTGAGGAAAATAAGATTGTAGAGGAGCCAGAACCCGTTGTTATCACACCAAAAGGACCAGACTTGTTTGACTGAGTATAATAAAACAATGTCACAACCATTTCTGGACATACTGACCTTCTTCGTAGCAGCCGCGCTGATTTACATCCAGACGCTTGAGGTGGAAGAAGACAAATGCAGAGCGAAAGAAGCCGAACGCAAAGAGAGCGAAGACAGGATGCTCAACACACTGGAAAGAAAATTTTCCCTAATCTTAGAAGAGAAGCTAAAGGATAAATAGTTCTATAATAAAAGACATAATGACCGACACGAAGAAGGAAGTGATCAACGAACTGTACGATGCAGCACTATTGACAACCGGAGTCGTTGGGGTATCCTACCTTGCCAAAACGGTTGCTGGAAAAAGCCTGGGCGCACCGATGACCCTAGAAGGAGTGGCAAAGCTTGCCGTTGCCGTAGCTGGAAGTGCATTCACCATAGGATACCTGAAGGATAAGGGATACATCCCAAAAATGATTGACAAATAAAGAATGACATCTGTTGTGGTAGGACTTTTTAATGCCGTGGCCTTTGCAGGGGCCGGCTTTCTATTCTTCAAGCTGAATGGACAAGGCTACAAGGAAGAGGTAAAAAGGCATAACCAAGCTCTAGAGAAGCTCGCAAAAGCCAAGGAGAAGTTTTACGAATCCGAAGTGAAGCGCAGGAACGACGAGACAAGACGGAGGGCCGAGATCCTCGATGCTAACAAGGACATCGAGGAAACAAACAGGGCACTGGAAGACCTGAGGGATTATACGAGGCTCATGGATAATACGGCATCCCAACGCAGACCTAAGTTGGAGGACTACTACCAACCATCGGACGAGATGAAAAGATACGCAGTGTTGACAGTGGGTATACTGGGTGTTGGCGGTGCTTACGGATTAGCACGAATATTTTAAATCCTACCATTTGGATTTAAAACTTTATGTTGTCATGAGGAAGAAATCTATAGTTGTTGCCTCATTTCTGACGGTTGCATTTCCGGCAGAATCTATGTATTCGAGACCGTTAAGACTTACATATGCACCTTGTACTGTGAACGAAAAGGATGTGCGGACGATAGCACTTCTTTGAGTGACCGTAAACATAACCACCGTTCCTATACTTCCTTCGTAGAATCCGTATGGTGGAGACGGCGTTGAAAAATTTATCTCGAATCCACTCACCTTAAAGACCATAAATTTTGCATTCTTATCATCATCGTCCGAAATGGCTAAGGACTTATAAAATCCGGGGAGGTATGGTAATTCGGTAAGGTCGTACTGTACGTAGTTTTTCCCGAGGCTATTTAATTTTACAATCTCGTCCGTATTTTTGGTAACTTCTGCCGTGTTTTCCTGCTGTCCCTTTTCGACTACTGCTAATTTCCGTTTTAAGATATCTAGGTCCTCTGCTGTTGTATCAAAGTAATCGTACCCGAGTAGGATGCTCATTTTATTTAACGTCGAAATACTAGGTATGCAAGTCCAAAAGATGCTACTGCCGCCATCCCAAGAGCTATATTTTGGGTATCGGACTTCTGCCTTAGTTCCGGGGGTTTAAAGTCCTCCACGGTTGGGGTTGGTATAATGTTGTGGCTTTCGTCTATGCTGGAAACCGGTGTAATGTCGTGGCTTTCATCACTATTATTCGTTGGGGTAGGAACAGGATTACTCGTATAATTCACCTTCTCATTCTTTCCAAACGTCATCCCGTTTTTAGCTACCGTCAGAACATTGCTGAATCCTGGAATAGGTTTCACTAAGATTCTCAGGTCGGAGGGGATTAGGATTAAACCCGGCATGATTGCAAAATTTAGGACAACATGGGTGTTAGCAATAGCCGTCCTCATGTCGGAGATGGTAACTGTCACATCGTCTTGTACAATTGTATCTTTTGCCACCTTACGGAAAACCTCTTGTGTCTGCAAACTTTTTGCACCCTGACCCGTGATACTCCATCGGGTTTTAGCCTGTGCTCCCAATACAGAATACACAAACGCCTCGATAGACTGCTGGAATAATTTCTGTCCAACTTTGGTAAGTCCTCGGGATGTTCTGGGAATAAGTGTTTTATAATCATTTTCAATGTCAAAGGGTGATCTACCAGTCAGGTATTCGTATTCGATAAATGAGCCACCATATTTAGTCAGACGGTACTTCTGACGACGTATCCTCCTCTGTTCGCTTACGGGTAACCCGTAGTACCATGTTCCTATGTTTGCGTGGGAAGAGACGGTCCTCCTAACCCATGTCTCACGTGCAGGCACGTACTTCCTAATGGTTCGTATATCATCACTTGTAAGGTACTGGTCTAATAGATTTGGGTTACGCATGAACCTCGATAGGTGAAAATGAAGGTGAAAGCGAACAATGGAGGTTACTATGTTGGAGTGTGAAGTGACAAAGTTGTTCGTCAGGTGATCCTCGGAAATTCCGGATTTAAACATAGCAACATAGCATGCCGCCAGGGAACAGAAGTAGGAATTGGAATGGTAATCGAAGGGTATGGTGTTGATAAAGGCATCGGGGGGTTTATCGTACGATGGTTTAATAGGTTCCAGTTTCGTCAGGAAATTTTCGGTCTCTGTAACATAGACCTTAAAGGTATGCACATCCATCTTGAAATCCTTATTCGGACGAAAGATTGCATCCGGTCGAACACTACGCCACCCTTCTACCCAGTGAAGGTACTTGGTCCATTCCGGATTTGTACGGAAGGTGTCGGATGTAATATCATAGCTTGTGAGATCATCCACCTTATAGAAGATGTCTCTGGAATCCACAGTTCCGTCCTTGGCAAAGGTAACATTAAAGTCGAACTTGGATAGGGTTGCATTGGGATATTGTTTCGTGAAGTCTGTCTTCATTTTCCGCATTTCGACGGGTGCTGCTGCCTTAACCTTCTCGTAATTCTTTCTGTAGTAGTTCCGAAAGATTTCTTCACTCATCCTTTTATTTGATGTAAAGTTCTAACAAGACATCTCCAGGGATGATTCCGATATTAGATCCAATCTAAAAACGGATTTCGCTGTATTTGCCAGCATCCACCCGTACTTGGCTTTCAATGTCGTTGTATTTCGTCGTGGTTCCAAAGAGAGGTCTTGTTCCATCGATGGGAAGGGAAGTGATGACGGTACTCCTATTTCCATATGGTCCGATGTTATGCTCGCGATTCACAAGGTTACAACTGACTGTGAGGTACCGCAAGCCTTCATGGATGTCCACGGGACGATCGCTAATGTGTGGTGTGTATGTAGGACCATTGCAGGACCGGTAACCCAGAATACTCGTGAGATTCCGGAGTCTTGCGGAATTTGTTCCCTTAGCAAAGTCGATCCTTATCCTTCCATCGGGATATTCCATAAGTGTCAACCCGTTTTCCTCCAGCTCTTTCCTAAGCTGTTTAAAGGTCCAGTACCCTTCATCTATCATTACCTTCTTCCCATCTACGGAAATGTAGTCTTTAAACCCCTTGCGAATATTCTTATAATTCCAAAACACAGCAGCAGTCTTTACGTAAAGTTCGGATCTGTGGGTAAGGATCAGTGGATCCTGTACGTTCAGGGTAACTCCTCCGTCTTCAACATAGACCGTTATCTTCTTCATGTTTTTATTTACAGATAAATAAAATGAGTTTGGAACTGGATGTAGCTCTCCAAGAAATATATTTTAACGTTAACGGTGGGTACATGTCGATGGAAAAATTATACCAGAGTGCAAAGGCGGAGGGTATAAAGGGAGTCAACCGGAAAAACGTTAGGGAATGGTTACAGACACAAAATACCTACATCATTCATAAACCGTCCAGAAAACATTACAAGACCCAAAGGACCTATGTGGATGGACTTGCACAGCAAATTCAAATGGACCTTGTGGATATGAGTAAGTTCAGTCATGGGAATAAGGGAAACCAATGGATCCTAACTGTCATAGAGGTTCTGAGTCGGTATGCTTTTGCCGTTCCGGTATGGAGGAAAAATACCGAAAGCATGACGAAGGCTGTCGAAAGTGTGCTCGTACAATTTAAGGAAAGATTCGGTAGGTATCCTAAAATGGCACAGTTTGACAACGGAAAGGAATTTTACAATGTAGGAGTAAAGACGTTGCTAAAAGATCATGATGTTCACTACTTTTCCACATGGTCCTTCCGGAAAGCCGCACTCGTCGAGAGATTCAATAGGACCCTAAAAACAAGGATGTGGAAATACTTTACGGAAAACAGGACGAAAGTTTGGGTGGACATCTTACCTGCTCTCGTTAGATCCTATAATAATTCCACACACAGAACAATAGGAATGAAACCGGCGGATGTGAATGAGGAAAATAAGGACGAAGTTTGGACGAGAATCTACGGATATCCACTAAGCACTTTTCCGGATCCTAAATTTAAAGTTGGGGATCACGTTAGGGTGGAAATAAAGCACAAGACCTTCGAAAAGGGATACGAACCCAATTTTGACAATGAAGTATACGTCGTTACAGCGGTGTTCCGGGGAGATCCAAACATGTACAGCCTTAAGGATCCGGAGGATATTTTGGGAAGGTATTACGAACAGGAATTATCCTTAGACTTAAATAAAGATGGACACCATAGAGATGAATGATCTCAACCAACCGGAAGGGGCCGAAGGGGGTGAGGATGAAACGGTTATCGATGATACACCTGTTGACGAGGATGATTTCCTTTCGGAACTAGACGACGATCAAAGACTAGACGATGTAAAAACCTCCAGTTTCCGAGAGGAGAATAGGGACGATTTCTACAGGAAAAGGAAGAAACAGTTAGACGAACTGAGCACATTTGAAAAATTTGACGACATAAAGATAGAATACGTCAGGAGGCTTTTCGGAACTGAGTACCGAATAGATCCGACCGACAGACGAAACTCTAAGGAATTTATATCCAGTTTAGACATCACCAAAAACAAGTTGACATTTAACGGGGCCGATGCCGCTTACATTGATACCGGCGGTACCTACAGAATGTCTGATAATAAGAAGGCTACTGCATCATCAAGAAGATTCCTTAATCTGTACGAAAAATCACTTGCGGAGCACAGGGAAAGAGCCAAAAGTGTAGTTGAAGAGGAAACCGGAGGAGAGACATTAGGAGTAAATGCGGAAGAGATTTTCGAAGACACTGAGGAGGAATTCCGTCAGGAAGTCATCAACGCAGGCGACAACCTTGTGGAACACGCAAGGGAGTTAGTGGAAAAATAACCGAACAGGAGAGGAGGGAATTTGCGGGAGTAACCGTTCCCAAAGGACCCCCCGAAGTCAGGATTAAAGCCTTAAGGGAACAGAAGAAAGTATTCGAAACCAATATAGAACTAGAAACAGATCCCGAAAGACGACAAATTATGCAAGAGGGCAGGGATGTTGCCGAACAGAGTATAGATAACGCCAACGTAGAGATGGGTCAGCAACCCGAAACGGAGGAGGGAAAACATAGGTATAGGGAAATAGTAAGAGAAAATATCGAGACAAAATTCGAAAGATTCCGCAAATGGGCAAAGGAAAACCTAGGCGCACTAGCTGCCATTGCTATTTCTATCTCCGGAATCATTACCACGGTTGTGGTAGCCGGGAAGAAAACCATCGTAGGAGCCTCCAAGGGATTAGGAGCTGTAAGAAAAGCATTGGCTGGACTTGCAAAATCCGCACTAACAATCCTAGTACCTTTCCTAAATTTACTGAGTACTATCCTAAGTTGGGGAGCCAAAGGTCTCGCCTTCCTTGCCCAAAATCTATGGATCGTAGCAGTCCTAATTGCCGGAGCCATATACAAGTACCTACAGATGAAACGAAAGAAATAAAGTTATACTATAATAAAACATAATGGACCGAACAACTAAACTTATGCCCAGCTTCTGACGCATGAATAGGACGGAAATTACCGGGGATAGGACCAGACATGTCCTAACCTTCAATCCCAATTCTGCCAAACCTGGAGAAGAAATCTACGTCAACATCCCAAAGCTAAAAGCCGACTCCGTTCTCATACCGGATAGTATGGCTTTAGTTTTCGACTTTAAGAACAGTAATACAAAATCCTGGTTTAGGAACAACCTGGGAAAACTTCTCCAGAAAAGACTGGAAATCCGACTCGCAGGAGAAAAGGTCTACGACAACAGTGGAGAAAGCTTACTGGAAGTCTACAAAGACCTATGGCTACACAACAAGCAGCGTGACAATATGGTAGAGGATGGTATCGCCAGCGAAGCCACGAGGAAGAAAATATCCAAGGACGCCGCCGCAAACGATGACGCAGAGGCTACCGCATTGTTCGGTGTATTCGGAACAAAACAGAAAATCCGGATCAACAAGATCCTCAAAGATCACGGACTTTATGCTCCACACAACATGGCAAACGACCTACAATACGTGATCACCCTACCTGCAGCGACCGAAATCATGAGCGCACAAGGTGGGGAATCTGTGGAAGGATACACCCTGGAGAACATCGAACTGGAATACGAGTCCATCGACAACATCGATCTCGCAAGGAAAGCCGAGGGACTGTATGGATCAGAACGCGAGTTATCCTTCAAACATACTACCCTAATGAAGAAAACGGAATGGAGCAAAGATTCCACCATCATCAACGAAACGATAAACGTACCACGCAGGAGTATGAAAGCCATCGTTATGCTATTTACAAACAAGACAAAGACAGACAGCGAGGAATACATCTACCCCAACATCGAAAAGGTTAGGGTAACCGTAGAAGGTGTTCCCACTGCAGTCTATAGTCAGGGTATCCCCAAAACAAGACTGTACGAGGAGGCAAGGCGACTGTTTGGTACCGACGAAATCAGTCATCAGACACTAACCGGATTCTTCAAAGACAAGAAATTCGCACTAGTCATCGACCTAAGAACTGCAAGCGATGCTAGGACATATGGAAACGGTGCTAAAATACAGAACACTCAATCCGGAATATTAGTGGAAATCACAAAGAAAGCCACAACTGCAAACGTTATATGTTACCTGTTCGTCCTTTCCGACGGTGTTATCAAGATCACAAACGGACAACTTGCTGGAATAAAGTACTAAATTATTCAAGATCCACAGTTTTTCCATACTCAAAAGAGTTTGGAAAATTTTACGCTTGATCATCGGTCTCCGCTTCTTCCTCAGAAGGTGGTTGTTTGGGTGTCTTTCGATAAACATGTTTCACTGTCGTCACCCCACCACTGACGATACCCAGGTAGGGTATGTATGGGGACAGCTTTGCCACTACACTTTTAACATCACTCTTAAACAGTTTATCCTGATTAATTCCTCCCTCAATTCATTCCCACTATCCACCATACTGATAGCTTCCATGAGATCCGAAAATTTTTCAATCAAAGCCTCTGCCAGCACCACATTTGCCTTTTCCCTCTGTGCGGTAATGTATTCCCTCCGTACTTTCATGATAACCTTCCCGGATGCCTTCTTCAGGTAACTCTCGGACTGTTTAATCTCTCCCGCATTGGACAGGCAAATAAGCTCTGCCCTACTGTCCTCTATCTCCGTATTCTCTGCATTTGGTAGTTCTTGTTCCATTCTCTTTATTATAATACAGAAACTTTTACTTCGTGGTTGAATGGATGTACAGGCCCACTTCTAGATGAGCATACTTATTCTCCTTCAACTTTTCCCTAATAGATCTCATTTCCACATTGTCAACAAGAAGGTATTCATCCAGAATAATCTTCATGTCGTGCCTATTCGGATTATAGAACGTCACCAGTTTCGAAATATTCTGCCTGTACGGTTTGGCAATGGAGGTCAGCTGTTGGGTAATAACAATGGTTGAAATACTCATATGACGCGCACTAAAGCCAAGGTCGACCAACTCTCCCGTCCGATCCTTCACGGACTTAATGCTGGCACAGTCGTCCAGAATGATGAGAGATTCCCTTCCCCTGGTAAAGTCCACTACAAATTTAAGGTAGTCCTCCACGTCATCCTGCCGGCAGGGGATAACAAAGAAATTGTCGTCCTCATGAATGAAATCCTGATCATAGGTCTTATTCCAATAGAACAGAATAGAATAGAAACTTTATTTCACGAGGGAAAACGTATTAACCGTAAAAGTTATCTAACATACGGCCCTCGCACTATTTTGATATTTACAGGCATAAAAAGTATTAAGGATTACGACTATTTACATTTGAGAAAAAAATAATTAGTAATGAATACAATTACAATTTATACAAAATAGATCTTCGATATGGTTAGTAAGGGTAAGCTTGTTAAGAAAGATTTTACGAATTTTTTGTTTGGCGTTAGTATATGAAGAGCAAGATGGCGAATCAGCAAGTTGCTTACAATCGCTATCTAAGCAATTAAAAAGAATGGAAGCACTGTACAGAAATGTTCGTTTACCAGAGTCAGTACGCGGGAAGGGGGGTTGAAGGTCATATGCGCAAGCTCTAGTCAGAGCCCGTTGTCGAATAGAAGATAAGAATTTAGACATTTGCTTAAATGAAGATGGAGCACTGGGATTTGTGAGAATGTTAATTAGTAAGAGAAGCTTCCTAAATTTAACAAGATCAAAAATTGGGATTATTCGAATCTGGGAAAAAAGAAGAACAGAAGGAGTAGAAAAGTCAGCATCTAGAATAATACGTGCTGCACGCTTTTGCAGTCGAAGAATGCGAAGTAAAAGTGTTTTTGAGCAGTTTCCCCAAGTTACAGAGCAGTAGATAAGACTCGAATTAATACAGGAGTTATAGAAACGAAGAGCACAGTCCTTAGTTAAAAAGGGTTTAATCCTGCGTAATAAAGCAAGTCTACTATTGATTGTTGAACACAAGTTGTCAATATGCTTGGTCCAAATTAAAAACTCGTCAAGCGTTAAACACTTTTGCTTGCTTCACCTGTGCAAGTATGTTGCCATTAAGAGTAACAGATAGAGAACGGTCTGAAGTATTCTTAAGTTGTTGGGGAGAATGAATGAGCATGGTCTTGGTTTTCAATGTATTAGTCACCATTCGGTTTTGTTGAGTCCATGTTGAGAGATCTTGAGCAACAAGTTTAAGTTTCACATTTAAATCATGAATGGAAGAACCTTCTGTTAGAACGGTGGTGTCATCTGCAAACATTGTGGATTCTGAATGTGAAAGTTGAGAAGGGAGATCATTGATAAATAAGATAAAAAGAAGGGGGCCAAGAATACTTCCTTGAGGAACACCTATTTTAACAGGACGCATATCGGATGTGTTTTTGAAATAAGTGCGTTGATAACGATCACTAAGATATGACGTAAACCATTTCAATACTAATGGAGAACATCCGAACATTCTAAGTTTCAGAATTAGGATTTCATGATCAACAAGATCAAAAGCCTTTTTGAAATCAACAAGAAGAAGTCCATTTAATTTTTTGTTATCAATATTAGTTAAAATTTTATCAGTAAGATGAGTGACTGCTAATTCACATGAGCGAGATGTTCAGGTAGGACAAATCAGGAATATATTCTCAAACTGATGGAAGAACGTCGTCCTTAATTCCTGAATGAGGTAATGCGTCTTCCCGCAGGCCGTCATACCTACGATAATCATGTTGAATGGCATTTTATTTTCCGGTTAAATAAAAATGACTAGCGGAGATAAAAAGGAAAAAATCGTCAAAGAGCAAAAGAAAAATAAGGAAGCAAACGTTGGTGTTAAGGTGGGTAAGGGAAGCCTAACCTTCGGTGCAGATGCAAGGGTCGAATTTAACAGTTCCAGCGTAAAGAACTACAAATACATGAAGAAGGGTAAATGCTGTCCGGAACCCAAGCCGGAACCTAAACCCAAACCCAAACCTGTCAAAAACAAAGGTAAGAAATAAAATGGGATGCCTGTCCTCAAAACCCGAAACCGCAAACAGAATAAAGTACAACAAAGATCATAAAAGAAGGAAGATGGTTCAACCTTGGCATTGGCATCGAACGGGGTGACATAACGATGAGTGCACATACCCAAATCGGTTATGCCAGCACAACCGTAAAGAAATACGATAAACAAAATGATGAGAATACCACGGAAACTAGTGTGGTTGTGTCTGATCAGCTGCCTAGTAATTCCGATAACGGTTGAGGTTCTCCTTGCCATCATTACCCTAAGGTTAATACTTCAATTTTAATGACTGGTAAAAGACATTAGAATTATTCAGTATACTTCAAACCCAGCTTCTGAAACAATTTCCTACACCGATCGTGAGGGACCTTCCCCTTAGGAATCTTAAGTAAAGACTCATCTACATTTACATCAATCATTTTACATACCTGATATATCATAATATTAAGATTGGGTATCCTCTTCCCCCTAGGTTTCTCTGCTTCACAAATATATTCAACCCAATTCATAACCTCACCCACTACTCCCCCAAGAATAGGGTACTGTCTCGGCGTTTCCCTAAATAGGTACTGTCCCGACATTTCCTTCTTAACTATAAAACTATGGACTTTCTCACGGATAGTAGCTGGTATATACTTACGCCCCATAATTGCTCTGTCCCAGCAGCCGTATCCTGAAACGTAATAGATCCTACCAACTATTAGTCCACACTCATGACACGTTCTTTCCCCATCTATATCAATAAGCTGATGCTTACATCCCTCGGAACAGAAGTGTTTATTTGGAAATTCTATGGGCTCCAGCTCCTTAGGATCAAGAGAATCCAAGTACTCCTTTTCCTCTATATCAAAAAGCTTCATGTTTTCGCTCCTCTTCCTCGGTTCCCGGGGTGGACGCAACTCTTTGTGGTACGCCGAAAGGGCCTTCGCAAATGGGGAATCCATACCGTACAGCAATTCCATATCCAGAGCCGGTCCATCAAAGTTCCAACCGATAGAGTCCAAGTACGCTACATAAATGATGCTCATGTCCTTGTAATTGGACCTTTTTATAGTCTTTAAATACAAATCCATATTTTCCTCATATTTCTTAAGAGACTTTCCGAAGGCGGTATCCATACTTTTTATTATACAGAAACCTTTCTCTTTAAACTACTTTCTCTCCACCGAAAACCTCAACAAGCGTGCGGGATGCGGCGGATGCGGCGGGCCCGCGGAGGATGTGGCGGACCGTGAAATTCATCGGGTCAACACCCACGGGAATTTCCGACAAAATTGGCAGAGCATGCGTATGCGTGCGAGGGTGCTTGCGTGTTCGTGACCACGGATGCGCGAGGACAGGGGAGGTAACCGGTAGGTAGAGGACCCCTAGGGCGGCACGGGGAATTGGGCAACCGGAAGTGATGTCATCGATTCTATTCTGGGAAGGCAGAATTCCGGGAATCCAATTCCGGGCATGCCCATACTTGCCCGAATCCACTATAATTTGCCTTACATGAAGTATTAACCATTTTGTCCTAGAATCGGCCTTTATTAGCTATATATATATATATATATTTATATATATATATATATATATATATATATATATATATATATATATATATATATATATATATATATATATATATATATATATATATATATATAATGTAGTTAAATAACTAGATTTGAGAAACATATAGCACTTACCATTTTCATTGTTCTCATTGCTCATAGGCCTACCTCCCTGTTGATTTGCGTTTTCCATCACACAAGCAGAGTACAGTTCTCCAATTGGTTATGACTAGCTAATGATTTGTTGGTCTGCTTGTCACGCCATATATCAGATACATAAGTCGTGCCCAGACTGCACGCTATTCCTTTCATATTGCATCGGTTATACCTACCCATAAGCATTTCGTTGTTGATTGAAAATATGCATGCATGAATAGCATATGTCGAATTGACATATCTGATTATGGTAAGGAATTTGGGTGTTAGCCACCGGCAAACGTCAGTTACTTTAAAAGTCTGTTAATATAGTGGTGGTTTTGAATTTAAAATAACAATATTCATGTTTGTTATCAATTTTAGATCCATTCTCCTCTTTTACTTAAATGAAACCGTATAGGGTAATCTGTTTCCCTGTATATATGTACGATATATTAATTTGAGTATACTATACTAATTTAAAGCTGGGTTACAGTCCATTCTGCGCATTATAGCCCCATTGCTTTAAACTTATTTTAAGCTTTCTTTGTCTACTAAACACAGCAAATTCTGGTAACAAATGAAAGCCTTTATCATGTTAATTGGTTAAATCTTTATGGACAGTAATATTTCATTTTATAAAAGACAAGTTATCAAATACATTGGATGTTCGAGCACAACATTTGGTACTGACGTTGATATTTTTATTCTTTAAAATTACTCCTTGCTCCTTACTTCAGCCTGACCCACTAGTTGGGTCCAGGAGTTTGTATTATCAGAATTTTCCTTTTCCAAGGTTGACCATCTTTCAGGGATTATGAGCTCCACCTACCCAGCAGTTTTAAGTGCCAGACACTTGTCTACAGCGATCATTTGAATCTTAATTAGACTTTAAAACTAATGGGTTTCAACATGTTCTTTGACTGAAGGAGGAGGGACAGCCTGGGCTATGTTAGTACATGGTTTGGCACAAGAACACAGGCAATATTACAGAAAAGTTCTACAACTCTGTTACTTCTACATTGGAAGAGAGTCTCAATGAAATAGTATGTACTAAATATAAAGCCTTTTTTGTACTTTTATAGGCGAACACACTTTTACAGCATCCACGGCATGCACGCTGGCCAAATAGAGTTATTTTGAACCAAATTTAACTCCAAATGCGAAGTAAATTAAAATTGGGTTCAAAATAAATTCACTGGAGTTAGATCAATCCTATGATTAACAGTACCTGTTATATTGCCAAATATTAAAAATGCTTATACTTAACCATTTGCAATGAGAGGTTTCACTGATTCGATTTCCACTATACCGCTATAACCAATACCTCCTACTTACTCAGCAAGCATATCATCTGCTCGGACTTGGTTACTCCAATATATCAAATGAATATATAGGATTATAGCGTTTGAGAAAACCAAAATTATGAAACTTTCTATTAATAATATATAATGTATAAAATTTAGCCCATTAATGAACATTACGTTTGGCATACGAGAAATTTAATTGCAATCTTTTAATTAATTAACCAAGTTTTTGCGCTAAAACAGACTTGGAAAACCGGTTCCACTTTATAAACTAACTCATTGCATGTCAGCCCATCAAGCCAGTGTTAATTGGGGGATTTACTATGAATTGATGGAAAGTATTTTTTTTACTGTGGTCAGGTTCTTCAGTCTCAATGGCACTACTACCTCGCCTGGTCGCTAATATTAATAAACCTTTTAAGGTTTATTAATAAACCTTTTAATTAAAATTAACAGGCAGTTTTAAAAAATAAACTCTATATTGGGCACATATTCGGTTAAAAGGCGTTTTTAGGGCTAGCTGCGTGGCAGTTGCGGATTATAAGTGGTTCAATCAGCAACTCCAGATGCCGCACATAGATGGCGCCAAAATAATTAAAAGCACTTGTGAATAATAGATAAGAACCCACACACATGTAAAGTTAATATTACATGCTGCTTATTTGATTATACCATTATACCATGTTTTGCAAACAATTCAATACTTTGCTGAAACAAATTTGTACATTAGTTGCAAATCTAGATAAATATCTTGGCTACAAGTAAATGCCTGGACAAGCGGCAACACCGGATTTGGCAATGTGACGTGTTTGAAAGAAAGATTGTATATATAGAGCAATTAAGTAATTGAAATGGTAGTATATTCGTCCCAATATTTAAAAAAAATGTAAGCCATGACGTAAGTTATCTCTGTCAGGGAAAATCAAAAGGTCACACGTTGGCAAGCTAAGTCAATGGCATTGTGCTAATCGGTGGGTGGAACTAGAACCATAATTGATCCTTCTGCTTCCCGTTTGATGTTTTGTGTTAATTTGGTAACATTCGAGTCCATCCTTAATTTTTGGGCGAAATATTATAGTCTTTTGGTTATATATGTGCAGGTGGAATTTTTAATATGCTTTGATGATTTTAATTTTAGATATATCTGTCGTTGCAACCAGGAAAGCTTTACTTAAACCCATGGATGTTATAAAACATTAATTTTTTTATTATTATCAGCTGTCTACACCATATATACAATTAATTGTAAAAATGGTGTAGAAAGCTGATAATAATAATAAAAAAATAATAAATATAACATCCATGCATGAAGGTTGATAATTGATAAAAATTTAGTACAAATTATTAATTACCATGACCATTATAGCATTAGCTGGTACGTGTAGGATACACTAACTGCATACAGTAATGCCAACAAAAATCTCAAGATTGTGTGTACAAGGTTGCGACTTGATGATCTGACTTTTACATACTATATAGAATGAAAAACCAACCACCCTATTTCGCATGGTATTTTGCAATTAAAATATAATCATATTATAATCTATTTTGTTTCTCATGTTTTATAAACGATGTTGACACAGCTGTAAAATATTTTATACAGTGCACAAAATAATGATTGGCGCCATTTCACCATAATATATATATTCTAAATTCCTACCTCCTCCAGGGCATTTTTTAAGAATTTGTGAGTGGGGGGGGGGGGGCTATCTACAAAAAGGGACCATACTATACCGAGTGTGGAGAAATGATAGATGGTTTGTTGGTAACAAAAAGTTTGGTGTGGTATTGCATTTAATAGTGGGGGGGGGGGGCTGGAGGTATTCTCCCCCAGAAAATTTTTGCATTTTTCTATCCCTATGACTGCGATTCCCTGCATTTTATGAAACAGATTTTTGGATATACAGCATTACATTATGCTGTAGATAGACTGAGCCTTCAGTTATGCACTTGCATAGTATATTTATGCAGGGGTCATCCTAAGAAAATTTTAGAACTGCCCACTTCTACAAGAACAGAGGTAAAGTGAACACAGGCTAACTATGTGGCAGACAAGGTTCATGCATTAATCAATGCGCCAGAAACTCCCCTTCAATATTAGATACCTCAATAGCTAGGAGGGTCCTGGGGCAATGCTCCCTTAGAAAATTTTGAATTTTAAAAGTCCAGAATGGTCATTTTATGCATTTTCAGAGTAAAAGCTGGATTTATTTTTGCCTGAAATATCTGTATGGGTGCTTAATGTATAATTAATTTTCATATAAAGCTCAAAAATGGGATTTTAGAACTGCCCATTTTGGAAAATGGGAGGCCTTAGGATGACCCTGTGTTTATATGTAGATACCACAACTTGGTCACTCAGGGAACCAGCGTGATAAACTTAGAGGGCCTGATTCCCACGAAGCGCCACCATAGTTGGCACAGAACAGGAGAATTTTGAAAATTTTGCGTCTCTAAATCGTCGGAAATGGCATTTTCAAAATCTTCTCTACCTTTTTTGTTAGGCCCTTTCACTACTTCGTTCATTATGATTTGTGAGTCTATAGTATCCGCAAGTCAGGATGGATTATTACAAGAAATGTTGTTATCAAAATATCGTTTACAGATATTTCATTATATATATACGATTTCAAATACTTCTAGTTTTGAAATCAATTGGGTCTTTTTGGTTGGGGGGGGCAAAATTGTCCCCCCCCCCCTTATAAAACACTGGGTTCGGGCCCGTTGCCCCCTGCGGTCACTAACTTGTTTAGCCAAGCCTTCCAACAACTCAAATCTATAGGGTCTAGGAAATGCAATCCACTGGAAAATGTTTAAAATCTAATAAGGTATTTACAACACAATGTTTAGCATTAAAAATAAAACACAGGACATAAGATTCACAAAGCAAATTTCAGTTAGTAGAATATCAAACCTCCCTTCTAAATTCCATGTTTTGCTTATATTTTAGAGAAAAGGGACTTTGACTTGGGGGGGGGCAAAATGGTTGAGTGGGGGGGGGGGCACCATGGGGGCTGGGGGGCTTTGCCCCCCCCCCCAGTTATATAGTTAAAAAATGCCCTGACCTCCTCCCAAGTTGGCTTTAATTGTATGATCAGGATAGGAATGGTTTATCTTATAGGGTGAACTACATAACAAACCAAGTGTTTTCTTGAATGTAGCGTGCAGTCTATTGAAGGCCGGAAAGAAAATTGATACGCGATAAAAAGCGGCCATCGAAATCACCACCATGATTTGAATGTTGATGGTCGTGAAAATCGCTTTCCTTTCAGTGGCGTTGTGGGGGCGGGGGATAATGGCATAGCACCTGAAATTAGAATACGTATGAAGAAAAGTATTAAATTAATTGATGTGAATAGAATGTGTAAGACAAGTAAAATTTTGGATAAAAGGTTGTAATTTCTTTTTAATTAATACTAATGTTAAAATGTGTGAGAGTGCATTGTCTGGAAGTGCGTGCATGCATGCTACCAATTAACTAAGAAAATATGTAAATTGAAGCCTCTGTAGCCAATGCCCGAATCATTCTCAAATTTCGTCGCCTTTACTCCCTTATGAAAAATTCCTATAGGAATTCCTTTAAAGTGCCTATGAAATGAAATATTTTATTTCACTATTTAGTACTTTCGACCAAGGAGAATTCGAATTTGGTATTAAAAACTTCGAATTGAAAGTGTAAAACGTACTTTTTGTAAGCTTTTATAACGATTTTGTATTCAAAAAATGGTCCAGAGACTGGGAACGAATTAAATGCGTGTGACGTAAATAGCAGGGCACGCCATTTACACCAAGTTACGAATATATAAACAATATAGCATGATGTCGTCGACTGAGAGTGATATTTCTGCTTCCATTTCGGATTCAAGCGATTCAAGTGAATATGTTTTTGGTTCCCGATATTTGCCATACGAAGGTGAGCCATTAGCTGCTGTTGGAGACGATATAACTGATGAATTTTGCAAGGAAGCGACCAAGGAAGCCGATCTGGACGGATTGACGCCAGCCATTCTTGAGTCAAGATATGATCGAAAAAATAAAGTTGATTCTTGGTAGGTACAGTGCGGTGGAATCTTGATTGATTTTTTGTTTACACTTTAAAACAAACGATTTAATCGCTTCAATTTTCTATAGGTGTAAATGTGGAAAATGTTCAGACCAAAACTTGGTTGGCGCACTTGAATTTAGATGTTGCCATGAGATCACTGAAGCCATTGGAAAACTTACATTCGACGGGAGCATCGAAAAGATCTCTTGCGTTACATTGCACGAAGACTTCAATGCTCTGACAAACGAGACTGTATTATCTCAGGTTGGCCCATTGTTGAGAGACCGAAAAGGAAAATCGTATCGATGTCGGTCAGGGACTCCTTACAAAGAGTAAGTGCTTTTTAAAGTCGATATGCAATTTTGTCTGTTTATCTGTTTATTTTATGTAGTTTTATAATACAGTATGTTTTGACCATACCAAAGCCCATTGGGGATACATGTCATCTCTTAGAAGCATAACATGTGCATGCTTTGCTGGTTATGATGATTTGGCTTTCCAAAATTATAAATATGAAAGAAATATACAGTATACTCACTATACTGTATAGTTTTGCAGGCTCAATGTTTACATGGCACAATAGAGTAACTTGCCCTGCTTATGAACTCGACAAGGCAATTTACCTGGTTAATTGTGTCATGTACAGGATTAAAAACAGTTGCGTAGCCAGGACCTTATTTTCGAGGGGCAAAACAAACACACAAGGCAAGAGACCAGGTTGGGGGGGGGGGGGGGGGTTCATGAGATCAGGTCGGAGTGAAATTTTGCAGAATTCCGAAGAATCATCATCTTGATTAACGGGAGGAACTATTCCCCCCCCCAATAATATTTCAACAGATTTATACCTTTTGAGAAATGATTTTTGTGGTGATTGGGGAAGGGCGGTCACCACCCCTGGCTGGCTATGCCACCATTTAAAACACATTGCCAATGTAACTCAGCAAGTACTCCAAGTAGTTTTAGAATTAATTTGCCTTTCATTGAGAAAATAAAAAAATACATACAAATCATTAGGGTGGTTTTCTCAAAATTGGCAGCATTTATTCATTGTGTTTTCACAATATTCCATATCAATTTAAAATTTACATAATATATTAATTTCCATGTTGGTTTTACAGGTATATTCGTGCTGTGGCCTATAGATGGTTGGCAAGATGGTTGTTTGGGTATATGGGCCCAGAGAATACTAGGCCATTACCAGCTTGTATTTATGAAAATATTAGAGTAAGATATAATGCTGGAGGCCAGACAGGTTATGTTAACGCTGAAGAACGAAGTTGAGGTACTATACAAGCACACAACCAGCTAACATTTTAAAATGCCTAAAAAACGTCCCCTGGCTTATAAATATAGTTTCATACCACATTTTTAAAAGTAAATAAACAAAATTTATCAAGGGGTGTGTAGCCTCTTTATTTGTTATTTGTAATAGAAAAGCAAACTTAGATAGAGTATTTTTTTGAAAACCAGATACAGTATTTTTTTATTTCATTGCAGTGCTCATTGCTCAATCCATTAATTAACTATTTACAAATCCCTCTTGGATGCCCTTTCCGTGGTTCACCACATTTTCGGCATTTTAGTGTTGCTCGCTTTTTGGCGTTGTTTTTCTCCTTTGAAGCACTTGCTTTAGTTGCCTGAATTTGAATTTGTAGCCTGTCTTGGTCTGCCTCTGTAAAAAATAACAAAATGTGGGCATATGTGCACATTGCTATGACCTTTCCAACTGACAACTTTATGATATATGGTATGAAATCAAGCATAAAATAAAAATATCTTGTGCATTTTTAAGATTTCAATTGTGTCTTGGTTGAGCCAAATCTTGGGCGCACAAAATGCTTTAATTTTATAGCAGGGTCTGAAATTTGCAGTATTGACTCTCCTGTTATTGTAATTTGTAACAGTGAGTGTTATGGAAACTTATTTGGATGGGAGGAGGTATAATACTTATGGTACCGATAACCAGTATCCAGAAGTGGGATACTGGAATCTCAGGGGGGTACAAAATTTTGAATCCTGGTATCGCATTTGGATACTGAGAAAATATACAAATTTCAGACCCTGCTATACAAATTATTCGCTCTATGTAATCACACACCTGGGGGGTGCAATGCAACTTTATCCAAGCTTTTGCGTTTCTTTTGTTTTTCAATTGCCTCTTTCTTTCCCAATCGGTCTGGAATCTGACTAGTCAATGATTTTGGTTGCATTAATCGGTATCTTTTGCTGACCTTCTCCAGTGTGGCGTGATCAAATGCGAATAGGATTTTACCTATGCACTCCACATACTCTATATAAACAAATAAATTGATCACCAATTACATCAAGTAAAATACATGTACATTTCCTACATGTAGTTTTGTAGGGCCCTTCTCCCCCGTCTGAAATGTGTAAAAACAGCATCCAGTGATTTACTGTAGGATTTACCTTTTATTTTGTGTGAAACAACACAATAGAAAGCTTTTTGTATAAAACTGATTTAGGTTAATTTACCATAAGTTGGTGGCCTTTTTACATCCCTCACAGTTTCCTCCCCCAGTTTATACTTGGGGTAAGTCACTTTTGTATACTGCTCCCCGGTTTTGGTTTTCTGGCCATCGCGTCGCAAATTCTCATTGAAGTGAAGTACAGCTAAGGCAGTCCTGAAATATTAAAAGCAAAAATATCAGCCTTATTGCACTTGAACCAAGCATAGTACTTTTACTGACCACATGTATCATTGCAACTTGCCTGCAGTATGATCCCAACCATGAAAAACATAGCATTTTGGGATGCCAGTGGTTCAATGTGGCATGGAACCCTTCCAGGCAACTAGTTTGTGTATCCGGTGATAATTTCTTGATGCCCGATTCCAACCTTGTGTTGCTGAGAATCAATTGTGCTTTGTCAAAAGCAGGTGTTCCTGAAATTAATGATTGTCAATTACATGTAATAACAATTTGAGAAACCGGGCTGCCGTTCTCTCCCCATTTGCCTTTCTTTTATATAGGGGGACTCCATTCCCTTGCCTGGGCCCTTGAGAAAATTGTCCCCTCCCCCTCTGGGTATTTATAAATTAATAGATTTTGAGTCCACTCTTAAATCCACATTTTTGTAACTGTAACAATTTACAAATAGGTTTTGGGTCCACAGCCATAGAGGGTGCTAGTAGTAACATAAATAGCATGTTCAAATCCAGTTTCCCCACTTATTACCTATTTTGACCCATTCTCTTGGTGTTTCCAGGTCATCATGTGCACATCTAGAAAATAAGTTACTAGCATGTCCTTCGTGTCTATTTGCAACATGATTTTTAAACGATCTCCACTTTGCCAGAATCATTTCCTGAAACCCCTCCTTGGTCGATGTTGCACACCAATACAGATGGTTTCTTACACCTTTGATCCAATGCATAAGGATTTCACAGCCTTTTTCTTTTCCAGCTTTCATAAGTTTCTTTGTGATGGATCGTGCCACATGCCAGATGTCAAAAAAATGCTTGGTGTCAGGTCTGGATTCTCTTACCCATTTAGCAAAACCTGCATGCCGATCTGAAATGAATTTCTTGATCTTCACACCTGCTCCTTCCAAAAATGAAAAGCATTTTTTCGCTCCATCCAGTTCCATCTGATTGCTTCCACCAGATTCATTACTCTATAAATGTAAAAGAAATAAGTAGTTCTATTATATAGTTCTTTATTTAGCACAGGGGACATCCTAGCTTTGAACAGATTAATTTACTTTCTATCTCTATCTATACTCTATAGATTATTTTACCACAAATGCTGTGTCCAGCCTAAAACAAATTTCTTCAAATAAAGAGATAGTGCATAGGGTTAATTGGTTATGGTTTATGTAAACAGCTAATAACAATAAATTAAGTATGATACCTATCCTCATCCTAATCTCAATCTTAACTCCTAACCTAAGAGATAATTTAATCAAAATCACCCAAAATAGTCACCTGTAAAAGTTCAAAATGAACAATCTTGTCAATGGGTGAGCAAAACATTGAATATGTGCCATACTTGGCAGAATGTCCCATAGAATCAAATCTGCCATCACCACTCCAAACTATGTCCTCCATATCCTTCACTTTTTGTACAAGTCCTTTTCTGTACACCTCCCAATGATGGAGAATTGCAGGGATAATGAGCTGGCTTTGATGAATAAAGAAGGTACGGCTTCTTGTAGCACACATCCCCATATGCTTGAACACCAGAAGAATTTTGCTTACAGATGCCCCAGCCATCAATATTCCAAAACTTAAAACAATATTACCAGCTGGGTACTTTCCAAGCACTATTGGTTGAGAGCTCCATTTGAATGCACTGTCGCCACATGACGGACAATTTTGCACTAAAGTTACCATGGTCCCAGTCTTGAAAGCTTGGACTGTTGGAGTACATTCCCGACATTTGAAACAGAACATGGAAAACAGGCTTAGTAGCAACGAGTAAAACACCATGAACTTTGGCTCCTTATACATACCATCTGCTTCATTTATCCTATATTAATTTAAAAAAACCTTATCATTGGCCATATGTTTTGACCACTCAATAGCCATATATATGTTTTGACCAATCAATCTGCAATGCAGCATTTTGATGTATGGGTACCAAAATACAAGCTTTGTGGTCAAAATGTTGCACTCAGTGGTTCCAGCTGAAGGAACTTTGTTCAGTCATTTCATGATGTATCAAAGTGGATAAACACCCTACTGTACTCAGTTTATACCTGATATGGTTTCTTTTGTGCATTTCTGGGTCGTCGTCATCATCATCAGAGGATCCACAGGATTCTTCATCTACCAGGCATGACCAGTCTTGATCACAGTCATTTTCCATTTCAATATCACCTTCACTGTCACTCAGATTCTCTTCTTCAACTGGGATATACGTGTTGCTATCTGAATTTTCACAAGCTCCCTAAAATTAAAAAAAGCATAAAAAATCTATACAATTCATTTGGAAATTAATTCAGCCCCCCTTCCTAATATTCACTGTACAACAGAGAACAGTATAAAGCAGCAATTTAACTTATGCTATACACAGATATGAAATAATGTATGGTTATTAATATAACTACTGCTTACTTGGTCTTCCTTGCTTTTGGTTTTCAGCTCCTGTACTCTTGTCTTCAACCTTTCAATATGTCTCTTTAAATTTTTGTTTCTTCTGGTGTGATCAAGGCACTCCATGCATTTGTTGACACCAGCAGTAGCAGACAAATCATCAGCACCACCAGACAAATCACCAGCACCACCAAGAAAATCACCAGTACCACCAAACAAATCACCAGCACCACCAGACAAATCACCAGCACCACCAGGCGAATCACCAGCACCACCATACAAATCACCAGCACCACCAGACAAATCACCAACACCACTAGATAAATCACCAGCACCACCAGACAAATCATCAACACAATCCCCTTGTGTGCCAGCAAAAGCCAATTTTCTTTGTTTTGTTGGAGGGGCAGGCAAATATTCTCGGGTAGCTTCACGCATCAGCTACAAAACAGAATTTATAAAATGTTAATTATGATTAAAATGGCATACAAAATACTATCAAGTCACATACGTGTTCACACAACCTCACACACAAATCATGACACACTTTCTATAAAGTAGCATGTTATCCTTTCTGTGAAGTAACATGTTGTGCTTCGAGAATATATAATATATGGACGAATTTACAGAATGTAGATTATGTTATGAAGATACATTTCAAAAGATCAATTTATACAAGCGGAGTAGTTTATATGTAAGTCCAAATTGCAGAAGAAAAATTATTGTGAAATATACTTACAAGTCTCTTCTCTTTTCGAGAGATACTATCTTCTCCACCTTTCACAGCATCAACCGTTGGTACTGAGCCGCGTATCAAGAAACGCTTTGTGTTACTGTTATCGAAGCCTTCAAGATTGCTTGCGAAATGCTTTGAGAAGCAGCTCTCATCAAAATGCGCTGAACACAACCATATTCTTGACGAAAATTTTGTGGGGTCGAAATCACATCGATGCCTTCGAACAAACCGTATCCATTGCTTTCGTACAGATGGATCTGTCGGAAAACAATGCATACTAATGCCTGGTGTATCACCACTATTTGTGCAGGACTTTTTATTTGGCCCTCCAGCGACACAAAACACTTTAGATTTTCTTTTTTTCCCCTCATTTGCACATGAATGACTTGTTTCCTCCATATTGTGCGGCTATGTAAATGAAGCGTGCCCTGCTCTTTACGTCACAGGAAGTAATTTGACGCCTTTTGGCCGCGCGCAAACAGAACCATTTTTGAAGCCAAAATCGGCATGTTTAACCCACGATAACTTTTGTCGGATTCATTTTTAGAACTTGCGGTTTTCAAAATCGTTTTTTACACATTAAAAACTATAGGAATATACGGGAAAAAATTTGGTTTCATAGGCACTTTAAGAATTTGTATAGGAATCATTTAGGAATTTCTATAGGATATTGTATAGGAATTCTTAGAGGAATTTTGATAGGATTTCCTAAAGGAATTCCTATAGAATCCCAAAGGAATTCCTATAGAATCCCACAGGAATTCCTATAGAATCCCAAAGGAATTCCTATAGAATCCTAAAGAATTCCCTACAGGAATTCCTTTAGGATTCTATATAATTCGTTTAGGATTGTATAGGAATTCCTTTAGGATTGTATAGGAATTCCTTTAGGATTCCATAGGAATTCCTTTAGGATTCTATAGTAATTCCTTTAGGATTCTATAGGAATTCCTTTAGCATTCTATAGGAATTCCTTTAGCATTCTAAAGGAATTCCTATACTCTATAGGATTATTATAAGGAATACCTATTTGAATGCCCTGGCACTAAGCTGAATGTAAAGATGATGCGTAAATTATTGACAGTGTGCATATACTATATTATAAATATTGACTTTATTAAAAAATTAAATATTAGTTTGTAAAGCGCACGATTTTGTTCTTGTGAATTTAAATTAAACAGTTTCTTTATGCATAAAATTTACTTATGTCAAGCTCTCATGCACTTGTGGGTTCAGCAGAGTGCTGATCGAGACATTCAAATTCTAACAATATGTTATTTCAGACAATAGTATGTGTTTTGGGGGCACCCTGTAGAATCCTAAAGGAATTCCAATAGAATCGTAAAGTAATTCATATATAATCCTAAAGAAATTCCGCACACAATTTTTAGAGAATCCTAAAGGAATGTTTACCAACGGAATTTACCAATGGTAAAAATATAAAATAATAATAATGAGAAATGATACCTTTTTCTAACTTTAGCAATAATTTAATTTAGTTCATATTTTTTTTACAAATACATACAAACTAGTAACTAATATGGTTCATGAGTGTACATAAGAGGCTAATTTAAATAAACTCATGCATTTTAAATAAATACATATACTAACTAATATGGGTCATAAATACAATAAACTTTTGAACCTTGTGATATTGTTTTATAATATGTTATACTTAGTCGTTTTTTTGTTCAACAATTTTTTGTTGTTTACAACACTTGATTGTGTTGTTTATCTTCGTCGTCATAAGGTTCCTTACTTCTTTTTGAGTGATCCCAAACTTCTGTGCCACATAATCTGAGAAATGAAAGAAATGAAACACATGGGAATTAATTTCAACTTGTCCAACTGTTTCAACTTGATATTTCTCTATCATAAAGATTATGTATTTGTTAGTGAAGATGACAAAAGCCCTGCATGGTAGGTGGGGGAAAATGGGAAGTCATTGCCCCTTCAGATGTCCTAATACACTCACTAATATTATCAGAAACAATTTTTCCTCCTGTCCCCCTGTGGACGGCAGGCATTTTCTCTGTGGGAGGAGTTTAACAACGCTTTGAGTGAAATTAATGGGGAGAAGTAATTTCCTTGTTGAAAATGTGAGAAAGTGTGCAAATCAAAAGGCGGCCTAACAAGGCATATTAACTCAAAGCATTACAAAAAGACATCCAATATACATAAAGACGTTCCCCGAATTACATCTTTTCTCCTTTGATACAATTGCCTCAATTGTGGAAACAATTAAGTCGCAAATTATACGAGAAAAATTGTATGGCTCTGTAATGATTGACCGTGTAAAGACTGCGTTGTGCACTAAAGTTTTGTTTGACGCTTTGTTTCCAATGTATGCTGATTCTTGTCGGAAGAAAAATCAAGATAAACTAGTCGAATCATTCTTCGCATTAATGCCAAAATCTTGTGAATTATTAAATGCGAGGACTACAAGGCTGCGAACCTAATCATGATCCATATACCTGACCACGTTGTTGGATTTTACAATATTAATCAAGCTCGGACAAGTCAAATGGAAACTGAGCGAACCTCGCAGACAGATGTGAAATCTATCCATCAAGCTGAGCATGGGGCTTTATCTTATTGCACAGGCTATGTAGTCTCGAAACTCTTCCAAACAAGCAAACGGAAAAGCAGGGCACACAACGAGGAGTTCAACATGTTATTGCAAAGCATGAAATCTGATGAGATGTCAAGTTTTATTTCTTCTCGTACAAGAGGCGGGCTGGTAAACCTCTCAAGTAATTTAGTGGGGATTTTAGAAGAAGCTGAACATGCGTTTCAAGAACAAGTTAACGAGTCCAAGCTGACATTGAGAAACATTCCAATTGATTTGATATGCAATTCATCACTGTAATCCCCTAAGGTCAAGTCACTATGGGAGAATATTATACTATCAGCTGGAGTAACCAAAGGAAGTCCCACAGAAAAGTTGTGTTTGGAAAATGTTGTTAAACTGTACTTGAAGGTCAGATCCTTTTCTTATGCAAGGGACTATCCTTACCAAACATAAAATTAAGGAGAAGAAAATCAAGAAAAGTCGAGCTTTAAGGAAGGATCTGAAAAGATCTGCAGACCCAACAACATAGGATTTATTAAAAATCACATGACAAATTTTCTTCGAATAAGCCCTGCTAGGCTGTGAGAATAGAGTTTCCCATATACAGCTGATTCAATTAAAATTGTCCTCTAAAAGTCAGAACTCACAACTGTCAACTCTCCTATTTATTGGTAAAAACACTATTGTCACCCATGCATTTCACAAATGACTGCTATTAGCCTATTTTATGAGGTTAGATAAAGTATAAATTCCAATCTTCCATAGAGATTTTCTCGCTTAAGGTAATTCCGCAGTTTTGCATTGCGCACTTTTACTGCACATATCGTATAACTTATAATTTCATCCATTATATACGTACCGTTTACTCAGAAAACATCACTTTATGACAATTTTATGTTACTTCAAAACATCTTTGGTTACATTTGTGCAAAGAATTATGTTAAAATCAATGTTTTCAAAAAAGGCATACAGAAGTGTAGCTAGGGTTCCTGTGTATGTAGTATACTTATTTACTTGTATTTCATGTTTTAATGCCACAATTCCCTAAAAAGATCGGTGACCCCCGTTTTTTAACTGATAATTTATTTCTTTAATGCATTTCACATCCAAAATTGAAAGAAAAATAATTTCTGGATCTTGAAAAAAATTTTAATTATACCAGCGCCTGTATAATTATGATTATACGAGCACTCAAAGGGAGAAATGTATGGAATACTTATGGTATGACGTAGTCCAACTGGCGAAGGAGCCACATATTAAAAGCACTGGGTGAGAAAAAAGAAAGCGCGGGAAGCCCCAACCAATATATGGTAGTAAGCACCATATAAGGGATCACCCCAGGTTACGATCTTCGACTTATTACAAAGCATTGCAATGAATCACCACGACAACATGCACGCTATTGTAATAATTTCCCAAAAAATGCTGAACTTACTTTTACTTTATATATCAACTCTGTAACGACCACCATTTTATACAAACATTTGGGTTGGACAGCCACCAGCTGGGTGGGTTCCATACATTTCTCCTTTCGAGTGCTCATTCATATAATCAGAATTATACGGGCGTGCCGCTTTGCGGCGCTGGTATAATTAAAATTATACTTCACACTCTCCGGTCGAAATGTATGGAATACTTACGGTAGATTACAGAGCACATTTTATTTATGTTTGTTCTTTGTTTTATTTTTAACAATAACAATATCACAACTATTTTTGCGATAATACAATTGTTCCAAAAGAAACTGGCAGTGTAGGTGGTTTATAATAAAAACGATTAAAAGTTGAGATGCTAGTCCAGTCTGCCATGTCTAAAATCATATTGATACTTAAACCAGCCTGTTTTGCCGAGGATGTAGATCTACCTCGAACAGAATGTCCCCCAAATACATCTTTAATACCCGATTGACGGATAACCTCCTTTAACCAATGTGAGAGCGTGGGCGATGTCACCTGTTTTTGTGGATTCTTAAACGAGAGGAATAAACACTGTTGCATGTTGTCGGTCGTGTCCTTTCGCCATTCTTTTGTTCTATCCAAGTAGGCAGAAAGGCACACCACTGGGCAGAGTAACATTTCAGCAAAACAGATTCCCCCAGTTTGCCATTATGTGAATGCTTTCGAAAAACCGTGTGTTGGAACTTTACGCCTTCTGGAAAAAATTTCATATATCTTGTGTCCAACGATGCCATATTAGAGCCTCGCTCTGGACATGCCAACGCCATCAGCATACAAAGTATCTGTGACAGTTGCTTGTCAGACAGTTTGGCATTCTTTCCCAATAGGCTTAAGTATTTTGTTACCGTCGCAACGTTCCAAGTGTGCTGATAGCGTGGCTGAGGGGGTCGAGATAGTGAAACTCCCTTCATTAGCTTTATGATTAACGGGTGTTGACCGATTGGTTTATTATCAATGTGAACATGCGCTGACGAAATAGCAGATCGCAGCACATTAATAGTTCTGCTTCCCATGCTCGAATTGTTCTACCAAAAACGTTAAGACCTCGGAGACTGAACCAGGTACGGGATCACTCTCCTGTCCTTCACACCAGCGACTCCATTGAGACCAGGAACAGTTGTATGCCTTGGTGGTTGAGGTCTTAACGCTGTTGGTGAGCAGGTCGATAGCTGTTGATGAAAGGCCTGCTGTTTCATAATGTCGCCTGATATTGTGTAGTCTATCACTAGATCGATCAACAGAGGCCACCAGGGCTGAGCCGACCATAGGGGGGCAATCAAGACTAATATGTTGCCTTCTCTTTCCTGGTCTTGTGAAGGACTGCTGGGATCAAATTGAATGGGGGGAATGCGTATGCATTTAAGTTCGTCCAGTTCATGGTGAATGCATCCACATGGATCGCACCCAGATCTGGTCACCAGCTGACGTAACGGTTCAGCTGACGAGTCAGGTGGGAAGCAACGAGGTCTATCTGGCACTTCTTGATGAATTGCCTGATGACTGTTGAATCGATTTTCCAGTCGTTGTGGTCCCTCATTTTGCGTGATTCTTCGTCCGCAACAACATTGTTCTTTCCCGGAACATGTTGAGCTACTACATAAAGACGTTTTGTCTCGCACCAATTCCATATCTCCAATGTTAGCTGCAGTAACTGATGGGAGTGGGTCCCTCCCTTGTTCAGATATGCTACTGCAGTCGAATTGTCTATCTTCAGACAAATCACCTTGTTGATTTGATCCTTCATGAACAACTTCAGGGCAAAGAAGGCTGCCTTGAGTTCCAGGATGTTTATGTGATCCTGGGACTCGTGGGTATTCCACCGTCCTCCGGTCCGAAATTTCCCCCAGGATGCTCCCCAGCCTATTTTGGAAGCATCTGATGAGATTGTTAGATCGGCAGTCAGAGGCAGAATGGGACTTCCCCCAAGAGATGGTAGATTGGTTATCCACCAAATCAAATCCAATTTCGCCTTTTTGGAAAGGTTAACTTGTGTGTTGTAATCGGACGTCTGCTGTAGAGACTCGATCTGTACAAGTTGAATGTGACGATAATGTAAAGGGGCGGACCAAATTGCTGGGCGAGTGAATTCTAGGAGCCCCAGGACCCGTGATATTTGCCTGATGGAAGGCTGATGTGTCCTCAAAAGATGCCGACACTCTCTTAGAATATTTTCTGATTTGTCCTTTGGCAAAATAAATTCCATCGTTGTCGAGTCTATGAGCATCCCCAAGAAGACGATCCTCTGCGTGGGTATTAGTGTTGACTTTTTGTAATTGATCAGAAACCCTAATGATTCCAGTAGACTTATAGTCATACGTGTGTGTTGGTTTAATGTTTCGATTAATGGGGCTAGTACGAGTATATCGTCTAGAAAAATAATCATTCGAACACCCTGACCGCGCAGCCAAGCTATTACTGGCTTCATGAATTTTGTAAACACTCTCCGTGCAACATTCTGACCAAACGGCATTGTTACGAATTGGTAAGACGTTCCTTGCCATAGAAATTTTTGCGAGGTTTGATGTATAGGAATGGTTAGATATGCATCTGTCAGATCTATATTTATCATATAATCCCCCTTGTTTATGAGGGATTTTATTGTCATGAGATTTTCCATTTTGAAATGCTCTGTCTGGATAAATTTGTTTAGAGGGCTTAGATCTAAAACTGGGCGTTGACCACCACCTTTTTTGGCAACTAAAAATATTCTGTGATAGAACGCTTGATCGTTGAAATGTACACGCTTGATCATGCCTTTGTGTAACAACGCTTCGATTTCCTCGCTTACTAAATTGCAATTTTGCAACAATGGGCGAGGAACAGTTTTTTGAATAGGAGGACTGTGAAATTGAATTTGATAAACTTGAAAGATTTCTAAAATGGTAGAATCTTGTGTTATATTTAGCCAGTTTTTTATGAAAGGAAGGTGCCCCGTTAGTGGGAGCTGTTGTTTTGCTTGCCTCGAAAGGGCTGCTGCTGGAATTGAAATCTGCCCTTCACCTGGTGAGGGTAGCGATTGGGCGTGAAGGGAGTCAGGCGAAAATTTTGGTTTTTTGATTGGTATTTTTTCAATTGTGGTTTCGACCACGAAGATGTTTGTGGGTGTTGTTGATTTAGTTTTTTTGTAGATTTCTAACAATGTCAGCTCTATCAGCTGCTATTTTCGTAATGTCCTTGCCAAACAACTGCTTTCCTGCATTTGCAAAAGGGGCTTCTGCAAGCGAAATCTTTGCCAGATTTATAGCGTATAGAATCTTAGTTCTACGCAATACCGAAAGGGAATTTGCTGCATTCCCTAGCAAACAAATGGCCTGTTCAACAAGGCTTAACATTTGATCATGTGATAATTCTTGTTTGCTTTCTAGCAGATCATAGAGGGCTGTCAATGGAGCCCTCACGTTTAGGACATGTCTCTGAACTTTTATCAGTTCTTTATCACAGTTTTCAACCGACATTTTATAATTTTTTGGAATTTGATCCGCGATAGGTTTATCAAGTTTTGGCGTTGTAAACACATCTAAATCAGGAAGAGACGTTTCTTCCAAAATACTAAAGATTTGTGATGAGGAGAGACTGGGACAAAAATTTGTCTCTAAAAATTCTTTAAATACCGTAGAAGGCTCCCAACTAGGAGTTCAGCCACAGGATCAAACGGTAAGTGCTCTGCACTATCCTGGCTAGGCTGGGGTTCAACTTCGGAAAGGTTCTTTCCGCCATTGGCATTGTTGTTTTCTGATAAACAAGTGGTGTCATTGTTATGACCTTGGGTGAGCGATTTGCTCGTTATGTTGCCAACTTTGTGGCTAAAATTGGGGTCCAGGATTACTGGACTATAACTTTCTATCTCTGCGTCCGGTGGGACAGCAATAGAAAGCTGATCTGAGACATCTGTTGGTTCAGGACAACTAGTGTCATCTTGTTCGGCTGCCATATTGTCGGTGTATTTGACCCGCACAGATTCAAGGCTTGTAATGCATTTGTTGAGTTTTGTTTAAAAGTTGTTCTAGTATCGGGGAGTTATCTCCCCTGTGGTTTGTAGATGAATTCGATTGTCGACGCTTCTTAGATCTTTCCGATCGGTGCCATGATTTGGCAGGAGATTTTGAAGTGTCTTTACTTCTTGATCGTGAACGTTTTCTGTTAGAACTCATCCTAGACCAACCGTATACGTTGGAAACATATAAATTTCACTGAAAGAAAAAGGAAAGGTGCAAAAAAACTAGGATAAAATTGCACTTACCTTAAAATACAGCTGTAGCTCCTTCGCACATTTGGAAAAGTCGAAGATCATAACCTGGGGTGATCCCTTATAAGGTGCTTACTACCATATATGGGTTGGGGCTTCCCGCGCTTTCTTTTTTCTCACTCAGTGCTTTTAATATGTGGCTCCTTCGCCAGTTGGACTACATCATACCGTAAGTATTCCATACATTTCGACCGGAGAGTATAATGCTTTATCAATGCATGTTCTCAAAGAAAAATATGTAAAGAAATGTGGAAAAGACATTTATGGATCAGAATTGTACACGTAGTAGTTTCATTTTGCTCAAAACACAATATTTTTTCAAAAATAATTACAAGATAGGTTTACTAAAGCAAAATCTGCGCTAAAAACATCAATAAATATCGGGCTATTGTGATTTTGCTGTTACTCGTAATGAGCTTGAAGATGGCGCCATATTGGGGTAAAGGTGGTATATTGTGATTGTCATATCTTCTTAACGAGTTTGGCGACCCAGACTTTTTTGTGTAATTTTACTTTAAGTATATCATAAACTCCATGCCTGGGAAGTTTCAGCACATTCTCATTCCGGGAACAATTACTGCAGAATTACCTTGAGGTCGATGTTTGTGGTTTTGACTTTGTAAGTACAACCTTCATTGAATTTTGCTCTCTGAAAGAGGTTATTAACAGTCCGTATTAGAGGGAATATTTATAAAATAGGAGATATAATACAGACCCTTTCCGAACTATGTTAGACAGAGTAAATTACTACCGGATAAATTTATCAGATAACTTTTTTTATTAGTCAATGCAGTACACTGTTTTAATGTTGGTCAATGCACAATTTGTATCTTGTTTTTGCATTGTTGGTATTTGTTGCAATTAATGCCAATATGACACAAAGAAAGTATAGCTTTCAACAGCAAGAATCTGGCGTAGCTCTATAATAGATTGATTTATTTAGTTTGCAACAATATATACAGGATTTTTTTAATCCTACCAACTTAAGTCAAGAAATAAGTCTTATTGTATTATATTTTATTTACGTGTTAAAAACTGAATAAATATTTATTAAATATAATTTTATTTTTCTATAAATATGTAGTATGTACTTCCAAAGTGTACTAGTTCAACAAGACACCCAGCCATTAATACAGGAAAGCAACAGCCATCAAGTTATCAATTACAATGTATATACTCAGCTAGCTTTAATACCAAATATATCGCCACTGTCATATTTATATGTGGATAGGATAGTTTCCCATCTTTCATTGAGGACCAATACAGAGACTTCCAAGTTTGAAAACAATTTTTTATGTCATCTATAAAAAGTGTGTACAAAATTACTGCTTGATCAACTACAATTATCATATACCTAGTCGATAATTGTTTATATTTTTAAGATACACATCCTAAAATAATCCATGGCACATCCGTCACATGGCTTCATATAAACAAACAAGCTAGCTATCAGCACTCACCGTCATTTACGTCAGAAAGAGGTAAATTTCCCATTTACACATCTAATTCGTCACATGAATCCTTCCAAGAGTTTTCTAAAGCCTGCATCTTCCCGCTTTCGTCCAAAGATTCATCCATATTTGAGAAAAATGTCAATTTTGCCTGATTGCAGAGTTTTCGAATCTCGTTCCCAGAGTATGCCTGTTCGCGGGTTAGGTAGTGCCACTTGTGGCTCGGGGATTAGACTTGTGTATGTTTAAAATCTAAGGCAATTAGTTTATTTTAAAAAGTTGAAAGCCCCCATTCCCTCATGACTGATGTGTTGAGAAAAATTATATTATTTTAAAGCAATTCGTCAGGGTTCAGGCATGTGTAGGGCCTGAGTGGGAGAAAGTAGTTTTCTCAAACTTAATTATAAATTATCTGCCTTAAATATAAACTGATCAGCACATAAAATGGTGGTTGAATCCATTTCTATCAATCTTAAGCTATGTTAAACTAAAAAAAAATATTTAATTTGATTTCACAATCAGTTATCGGTATGTTATGAACTATTTTATAATAGGTCTATGTCTATGAAAGGATACTCCTCCAAGGAACTTGTTGTTGGCTTTGTATTCTTTCTTTATATGATATTTCCTTTTGAGTCTTTATATTCAGTTTTAAAATGCTTGTAAAAGTTAATAAAATTTTGATAAAATATCAACCTTTAATTCAAATCGCCATTTATAAAAACGTTTAAAAATAAAACCTGCCTCAGTCCCCTAGATTAAATTCCTGCCCTGACTTAGTTCAGTGCAAAGATTAGGTCCAGTGCAAAGAATAGGTCCAGTGCCAATGCGTCAGAAATATATTGTTCCCAATTAGGGCATATTAAAGTGTTTTACTACCCCCTGGCTCAACCTTGCACAATCCTGTGGCACAATTAATTGCATGAAACAGAAATAAATTACATCTACAATCTCTTGCAAAATAAAACATGCCATCATGATTTTGTAAGGCTTATCCCCTTTCCCCCCATGCAATGTTGCGATTTGAAGTCGAAATTGACCAGGAAGGCCTGAAACGGTGCTAACAATCACTAATCAATATTGAGAAGGGTGCGGGAGCAAGATTGTCTAAAATAGGAACGTTTGCAATGCACACTTGGCGCAGCTCTGATTGTGTAAGATGCGAGTGCAGATTATTACTAATAAAGGAAGTAAAATTTACTTTGAATCATTCAAAAATATTAGCACACATGTTTGAACAATAACACCCACATATTTTATGTTTATTTCTGGAAAAACGTTATAATATATGTAACAAAATAACTAATCAAATGCATGCAATCAGCATACTAATCAGTGTTCATATGTGTATGTGACGGGTCACCATTTAAAAATCTCAAAATTACATATTTTGTTTCTTTTCTACAAGCTTTGTTCACTAATTCACTTAAACATTATAAGTTATTCGACAAATGCTGGAACTTGGAAACGATTTGAAGTTGATTTGAAGAAGACGATTTGATTTGGAAACGATTTGAATGCTGGAATTTGGAAACGATTTGTGTACGTAGAATAAACAACGGATCATATGAGAGAATATATAGTATGTAATATTTTCTTTTGGTTTGAACGGGTCACCGTTACACAATCAGCTCGTATTATGTTAGTTTCTTAAAAAAAAATGGAAATGCTAACTTTACCATGGTGCCACGGTACAAACCTCAGATCTTATGTAGTTAATGTGTGGCCAGCGTACTCTCTTGAGTTGTTTTGGCACTTGTTTTAAACAGTGACCCGTTATGGTGATGCATTAATTATTCGGAATCATGCATTTCGGGGTGGATGCATGGGCTGTCTGAACAATTATGCTTTATACCTGACACAGTCACAGAGATGGTATACATAATGCATTGCATGTTAATATTTCACAAATAGTCATTAAGTATATACATAATTTTGGTAGTTAATCGGCGTGTTTATACCGCTTTGGTTTGTTCATCAAATACACGCAGCCTTATCAATATAGACGAATATTATTTTTTAATTAACAATCCGTTCATATTATATTGTATGCGTTTTATTGTCAAGATATACATTGTCGATATAATTATATTCAACGTGAAGGTACTTGGCAGTTTGATAGTTCTAAAATCTTAAACGCTGTCCTTTCCTTTTAACGATTTCTTTCACGCGATTTGGCATTGAGGCAATTGTGTTATTTATTACTTCTGGGGGTAAAGATTGAATTGTAAAGACAACTCTATTTTTAAATTCCTCGTATGTTTCCTTCGTGATTTGCGACCTTATCGCTTGCTTACGCAATGCGTCTGAAACTAGTTTAAAAATATTCTCAATAGGGTTTAAGTCAGGACTTCTCGGGGGTATTTTTAGAAGTTCACAGTTTGCACGGTCCATAGCTGCGCAAGCCATTGCTGAGTTTTGACTTGGATCTCCGTCTTGTAACCATAATTGCTTTAGGCTTTTATCTACAGTGCCAAACATGCTTTCAAAGTTCTCGTCAATAAAATTGGCAAAATAACGGCCATCTAACTTATCATACGTTTTGCATATGACCACGCCCTTGTCATAACTTATAGCTACCATCAGCTTTACCACTCAACCACCAGTTCCTGTTTTTTGTCCTTTCGCAGTACATCCTGGCATTAGTCCTTCGCTTCTCTTGCACCATACTCTGCCTTTGGGTGCCAAGGCTTGATCCAAGAGATTTCTCTTATACGCAAATCCCATTCCGTCGAGGTAAAACACAATATCTTGAGTCCACACGTTGTGAGAATATTCCTTTTGCATTCTCCGTGCAAAAATTCTCCTCTTTTTCATATCAGCTTGTAGATAATAATAGCCCTCTTTATTTAGGAAACGTGAAATTGTACTCTCTGAAACGTCTTTTCTACAAATGCATGTGTTCTCCATCAGTCACTTGATCGTGAAATTACCCTCCTGCTCTCTTAGGATCTGGATCGATCGTCTTGGTTTTCGTTCCTGGCGTTTATTTAGCTTTCTGGGTCTACCTCTAGTCTCTCTGCGCGTTTTCTTACATCCGTTACTGCTCATATCCATTTTGCTAATCCTCCACACAGTTGCCCGAGAAACATTACATTCTCTCGCTCCTTCCGGAATGGAAAGCCCTTGAAACCTCGATAAATAGTACACCAGAGCTTTTGTCTTGTGGTCAATATCCATACTGAATTATTCCTTTAATATTTATCTTTTAAAGTACGATTGTTCAAGTCCTAGTAATAATGTTCATGCTTATATATTATTGTATTCCTTTTTTTGGTTCATTACATAACCTTCAAAACGTGTTGATGTACGCAAATGATGTCATTCACAAGTGTTCTAGATAAAACGTGTCCAGCATCATAATTTTCCACACCTACAGTACTTGACATAGTATGTGCAGATTTATTGTTGAAATACAATCTCTTGCAAACTAAAACGTGCCATCATGATTTTGTAAGGCTTATCCCCCTTCCCCCCATGCAATGTTGCGATTTGAAGTCGAAATTGACAAGGAAGGCCTGAAATGGTGCTAACAATCACTAATCAAAATTGAGAAGAGTGCGGGAGCATGGAGTGTCCCATTTATTTTGCATAAGATTGTAGAGTTCAGAATAAAACCTTACCTTCAAAGATGTTCTGTATTTGTTCTCCAACGTTAAAAAGTAATTTTTTTCCTGTTTGGTTTTGGGGCTCCCGCAATACTTGCAGGTGTTTTTGAAGTCATCATCAAACAGACTTCAACAATCTGGACAATATTCATTTACTGTAACCATCTCATCTTTGTCTAGTTTTGAAGAAAATGCTTTTTTCAAAAAATACAATGACTTCAGGTGGTTTTTTTTGCTGTTATTTGGTAGGTGAATCGAGACTAAACCTAACCGATCATTTTTCACAGAATATGTTGTTGTTTTGTGCTTAATTGTGTATTTCATTATGCTTAAAATACTGTGATAGAGGCACCTGGATTAATCACTTCGTTGTTGCTACACACATCAGGCTGGATATCTGAAGCCGAGTCAGAAGACTTACTTTCCGATTCACAAACAAATTCACTGTCTGAGACAACATACTCATTTGGTTCCAAATCTGCCTGTTCTGGCTCTTCATCGAATATTGCAGTTGGTATTGCATGGCTGTTTTCATCAGCTTGAGAATGTTCATCATCACTACTATTTGAATTGTTGGCATCTTCCTCACGGGCAAATGAATCTGACTCATCATGATCACTATCAGCTTGCACTACTATAACATTGGCATCGGCTTTTTTCTTTAAGCGTGCAAGTGTTCGCTTCAGAATCAGGATACTAGGGTCTCATTGCCATTCTTTATAACGGGCATGTTTCGGAGGCATAATTTGCTTCAACTACACTGACAATATCTTATAGCAATTTTATTTCAGGCCAGAGAAAAATACACAAGTAAGTTTTATCAGATGTCGAGTGGTCGACCAATCAGAACGCAATGTTTTTGAAAGTGTGTGATATTTTACCTCAAGTGATCAATCACAACGCAGTGTTTTTTTAAATGTATGCTGTACTTTATCCTTCTTTCATAAACTTGACACTTTTCTTGTTGGTAGCTTAGCTGTTTATACCATATTATTTGCATTTGCAGGAAAATAATCGAGAATGAGTTTTTCGGATTCAAGCTTGGAAAAGAATCGAGAGAATGAATTTTTTCGGAAGCAACTTGTCCCAGTGGCACTGCTACTGCCACTGGTAAAAAGGCACATATCCGTCAGCCGGTACCTTCTTAGACAATGTCCCTACAGAGTCTTGCATATAGTTTTTGTTTTTAAATCATTTTAATGTGCCTTTTCTTACTTCTGCTGATATTGGCCGCTGTCCTGTGGCTGTGGATATGGGCGCTGCCACTGGTAAAAAGAAATCGACCCTACTGCCTGGCGTTTTAGTTTTCTTGTTTTAGACTATAGTTTTTGGTTTTAAATAATTTATGCCTTTTCCCCCCACTTATGCCGGCATCTGCTTTAGGTCGCTGTGGTGTAGCACTGTTTCAGTTGTAGGCCTGGTCAATGATTCTTGGACCATTAGCCCTGTAAATCCCATGGCATGGCCATGCCTGGTAGCCTGGCAGACAGCCATGTATTTTTTAAGCCAGGCCATAATCATAAGGCTTATTATTATGTATTTATGAGTTATGATTGAATTTAAATACTATATATAGTTTTATTTTCATAGTTTAATTACTATAATCTGTTATAAGCCTGATGTCAATGCCAATGGTTTTTGTTTCAGTTTTCTTTTATTAGCTTTGCCAGAATTATAATTCATAAAGGTATTGAATTGAAGTCGCCCAGGGGCAGGGAAGCCAAACTCTGCTAATTTGTGTGACATTTTACTCGGCTTTATATTATATTGTTATTAAGACTGTTGAACTAGAACAGTATTTAATAGATAACAGCAAATTGTGCTGAATTGTTTCCTTAGTTTTTTCTACTGCTTTCCAAATTTATGTTGTTACACAAATTTATGTTTTTACAAGTTATTTTTGTTGCAACATTACATGTATCAAGTAAGTTGTTTACGACATACTAGCCGTATAATAATTTTTTAAACAATGTGTATTTTTTACATAAAACTTTTTAGACACCAAAGCTTGCGCCAAAAAGGTGTATTTGAGCATTATCTGCACGAAATTGACGAAACCGAATCAGAATGTTAATATGCCCAAAAAAGACGGAATGTCTGTGAACATCAAAGGTGCCGCTGAGGTCAAGTTGAAGAACAAAGTCAAAGACAAGGTCAAGGACAAAGTCAAGCCCAAGGACAAGGTCTCCAAGTCAGCAGTGCAACATCAGCAAATGGAATGCGAATGTACCCCAAACTTTTTAATGTCATTTAATCTCGCAAATAAAAAGGGGAAATGTTGTGAGGTATTGTACAATAGTCTTGCAACTTCCTTGTGCCTGTGTCCTGATGCCCATCCAGGCAGTCACTGTCAACTTAAAAATATTTTTAATATAAAATATTTTTCTAAAATTAATATATAAATTATAATTTTTGAAATACAATATCCCTGTTTGCTTTGAGAAATCAAATTTTAAAAGTTCAAAAACATGCAAAAGTTCACGTTTATAGTTCTTGCAAAATATATGTGCCTAGCCTTGTTTTGGTGCTTTTTGCAAATGAATCTATAATTTTAAGCACTTTGGTGATTTTGAAAACTTATCTCGAAATGATTTGTTTATGCATTTTAAAAATTTACAATAAAACAAGAAATAAAACGAAGCCGGAGACTTTCATTTTTGTTGCGATGCCATGGCATGGGCTATTGCCAATTTGGGCAATTAAATGCACACGCGACATGTAAAATGAGTGGAAGTTCAACCTGAGCTTAGAACTCATTCATAGATGTAATGAGTACTGTGAGCTTCTGAAGCTTAAAGTACTTGTATAGAAAGAATACACGAACTGCTGTTAGGGGAAAGTAATGATGTATCTTTAAAACATTGTTCTTATTTCAGTTTGGTGTATAACAAGGATACCTAAAAACTTGATATTATCGACATTATCTGTTAGTTACTTTTAGAAGATTCATTGTCTTTTAAGAACATATCAGACTTTAAATCGCATCCCTGGTAATGTGGTAGCAAAGAGTGACTGGGCAAGCATCTTTAACACCAGGTTATAATAAAAACTTTTATGAACAAATTGGGCAATTTAATTCAAGTCTTAAATTAACAGTTGGAAGACATAGTAGGTCCAATGTCTTTTACCACTTTTGGTGACTAGTTTTTGCAATAAAGATTGATCACCATTTATGTTTTTGCTTGCTATACACTGGTTTAAATAAATGATTACAAAGCCCAGTTGAATTGTAATCAAACCCCAATGTTTCAACACTCCAGTCTAGTGTCTTCATCAGGGGTGATCTAAAGTTGCAATGTGGCTTCTTACATACCCAAAGGAAGACATCACCTGCCAATGAGATGCATGCATTCCTCTGGTAAATAGGCACTGTCATCCCTATTCAAAGGATGATTACTCATATTTATATGCCACACTAGTCAAACACTATGCCTTGAAGCATGGCATATAAATATGAGTAATCATGCTTTGAATAGGGATGACTGTGCCTATTTACCAGAGGGATACATGCATCTCATTGGCAGGTGACGTCATCCCTTGGGTATTTAAGAAGCCAACGATTGTAACTTCAGACACTAGACTGGAGTGTCGAAATGTTGGGTCTTGATTACAATTCGACTGGGCTTTGTAATAATTTATTTAAAACGGAGTAGCGAGCGAGAACATGGTTGATATACCTGGTTGCAGTGAACAAACAAACTTTGATCACCATTTGTTTTTCTTTCCATCTTTCCAGGATTGTTTTTGTTTAAACTTTACATGAGAATGAGAACAACAAACATCAAATCAATTTGAAGTTCAGAAGTTATTGAACTACTTTAAATTAAGAACTTAACCAGACTGGTTGCTACCATGTTTCTAAGGATTTGGTTTAAGGCTGTTTTTACAAAATGAATTTAAATTTAGTTTACATCCATATGTAGCATCTATTATAAGAACATTAAAATTGACATGTTAAAATTAACTATTATAATGTTGTTTCAAGTATAAGTATGTATCTTGGCATTCATTTGGTTTGATTGTGTCATGATCAGGGATCAGTCTTTCATATTCTGCTCTAACATTTGGCTCCAAATAGTCATCTGGTACTTGCAAAATGCCAGATAGGGTAGCTGCCTCCTTCAGCTGTTCTTCAGTTACCTTTAGGCCTGTAAAATAAGGTATTATGTAAAGGTTACAGAATGGTCATATGTGCTCCATACAAAAATGTTTCCAGCCCCCAGAGAAATTGTGCACCCCCCAACAAAAATGTGCAACCCCTGTCCCTGCCAAAATTTAAAAGCACTAAATTAAACTACCGTTAAGTAAGATAGAAATATTAAAATTAACATGTTTCTATATATGCTTTTTTGCAGCAAATTAACGTAAAAGTAAAACACACTTACAAAAAATAAGTTCACATGCTCATCGGCACCACGCGTTCGCACATTGACAATGGATTCAGACAGGTTTGACAGGTTTACATAAACCTGTCAGATTTTCCAAAGAAAGAAAATCTATAACCTTCCATGTAATAATGTATATAACTAATTTAAAGGATATTCTGTTTCATAAAATGGATGTTGTCTAATCTATTATTGAAATTTGATTATGGACTACCGAGCGTATTTAGACCCACTGATCATTGCTTTGGCAATTCAGAATCAGGAAATGATTGGGAAGCATTCACGCTCTTGCAGTTTGGTTTTTAGTTCGTCGTTAGAGTTGGTTTTAAAGCGTGTAGATCTAAATCGATGTGTCAGCAATTAGCGGATCCTATATTTTTATCACTAGCTAATATGTTTCAGAAAAGGTTCAATTCATTGTTTAAGCCGCGTATTAGTCAAAAATTCACTTAAAAACATGCATTTTCTAATTAATTAATTTAAAAAGTGACACCAGAATGCAGGAAATGCTGTTTCAGAGCCCCAAATTTTAAATTTTTTTCAGGGGGGGGGCATAGTTGGGTGAACCTAGTAACCAGTCATCAAAAACCCTGGATCCGCCCCTGCACAAGATCATTGCCACCCCCCCCCTGAATTTTTTGCAACCCCCCCAGAGAAAAATATGAAAATCCGCCCTTGGCTCCATATAATGCTCCCTCTTTATTGCTCAAATTGATTGCACTTCGTAATTATAAATAGCTTTTTTAGCTGCAAGCAAGTTAGATAACTCTATATTGATGTAGTGTCTAAGCTGCAATGCACGATTTTAGTGTGCATGACTCTATCCTTCACAAGAAAATTCATGTGGCATTAGACAGAGTAGAATAATAATAAGGTACAGCAGGGCACAACTTACCACATTCTTTGAGACCATACTCATCTGGAAAGCTATAAATGTGGTTAGTAATCCCACTTGGCAATACTGCATCCTTTTGTGCTCTTATTCTATGAGTGTTCCACACAGTCTCTCGAAAAAGAAAAATATCCAGTTCTTTCTGAACCAATGGTATCATAACAAAAGATAGAAGCATTCTTGAAACATAAATAAAATTAAGGTCAATAATTTAATTAAGAACTTATCCAAAATTAGACCAATTTGACAAGTGAACCAATATTGCTTGTCTTAACACTTTGACAGCCAGCAGTCTCCTTTTGATGAGTAAACTTGTCCTCCCCCCAAGGAGGTGATAGAGAACTTGGCAACCTAGAACGGCAACGACAATGGCGAAAAAATATAATTGCTAATATAATTGCTTATATTATTGTATTTCAGCCAAAGTATATGTTACTACACTTAATTTGCCTCTTTAAGTATTCTTGCTCCTCTAAAACAGCCCTGATGAATAAAAATAGTCCGCGAATTCAAATAAAACACCTCAAATAACATTGAATGAATTAACTGTTGCCGTAGTCATGCACCGTGAAAATGATGCAAATCACACACTAGTTTCATCAACTATGGCATTGCACAATGCTTTAAAGACCATGTAATTTACATTCACCTTTGTCTATGAGGATCAATGCTATGTTGATGACCATGTTGCCGTTGTCTTTGCCAAACTCTCTGACTTCTGCCATCCAGAAGGGGGGAAGGGGAGGGAATTTTGTTTCTAACAATTTAGTATGTATCTTAGGACATACAATAAGAAGGGGGTACATGTTGGGGGGTTAATTAACTTCCAATTCCCTCTGTGAGGGAGATATATGGATGCTTTCTGGAATGACCCAATGTCATAATTTGTCAAGGGG